CCAAGTCCCGAATCCCCACTATTCCTCCTGGTTTTCCCAAACCCATGAAGCCCTTCCTCTCCGAACCCTCCAGTCCAGTACGGTCGGTAAGTGTGTTGAGAATTGTTGTCATGCAAGAAATCAATTCGAGTCATTTCGAGTCCAATTCTTGGGGAAAGTATATAAACTGCTTAGACTTGTTTTGGAGCAATGTACAAATATATCATACATTTAATCGTGCCTTTGTTCGCATTTCTGACAATCTTTCCCACCACGCTGGTGGGAGACTGACTCATATCGGGCCCAAGAAAACAGGTCGTGACTCTGCCAGGGTGGAATGGTGGATTCCTCAGACCCTTTTAGAAGATGTTGCGTATAGCTGTCCAGTTTTGACATGCAATTTTTTGCAAAGTAAGGGGGATTGAGAACTATTTTAGACTCTAACCCAAAACACCGCATTTCCAATCGCATTGATGAATTGTAGTATGCCTTGCTCCTTGTTTCAATCATCCTGTTCCCTCTCCCACACCTCCAGCCCAACAGTTTCAAAGCCCCCAGCTGGAGGCTCCTGCCTCATTCCACACACTGCCTGTCCTTCCAGCCCCTCCAGCCCCCCACATCAAACGGTTTGTCCCTTTAACAAGCCCAGCGCCAGTAGCTTCACTTGATTTGTCCTTTTCCCTCTAATGTTACAACATTAGTCTAATGTTGGATTCTGATTAGTAAAAGGATCGTTTTGAGGGTATTCTATTATGCTAAATATTTGGGGTGTCCCAATTCTTATTATCTGAAAAAAAAACAACCACCAACAAACAAAGAAACTGAAATGTCACAACCCTGGTCCGGTGCAATCGCAAAATGAAAGTCTGTGTCTGTTGACGTTGTATAATCATTATCACCAAAAAGGAAAACGTGCCCAGAAAGGGGCCCCACAGGTGTGTTATCCTAGCGTTTCCTTGGAGGACTTCCAAGTGAGTAGTTTTCCACCTGCACAAACAACGCTCTAGGCTCTAGGGACTGAAGGCACAGAACAAAACTGCCGGTATTTTTCAGACACCAAAGAAGAACCGAAATAACTGCAAGAAACATTCAGTGCCTGCGCGAACATAGCAAAAACAGCAGGCATCTCTCGCGGTGGACCAGGTCCCCTGCAATAGGCCCATGCCGGGCCAACGGCGCATCCAATAATCACAAGTCCGAGCGCAAAGCCCACCCAAGCCTGTGCCTGAGATTTGAATGGGCTCAGCAGCAAAAAAAGATGCTGACAACCATCAGTTACTTTTGAAAGGCTTTCGACTTACAAGTTGAATCTCTTTGGTCCCTGCAAAAGACTGTGAGAGAAGTAAATTGCGCGCAGCCCACCCTGCGCAGAAGTTGGGCGCAAAAGCATGCTTTTTGCTTTGTGGCAGGCCCTGACGGGGTCGGGGCTTTGCACTCTCCAAAGTGGCATCCGTCATGGTTGCACGTTACCAAACTGTGGGCCAAAACTCGTCACCCGCATAATCTTCCCCCTTCCGCAGCCAGCCAACTCACAGTAACTTACGGCGGCTTAGATTTCTCGGCGCGAGCCTGACCTATACGGCTTAGCTAGTGCAGCGCTCAGCTGAACCTGTGAGTTCAACCTGGCCTAACTACCTCAAACATCTCAGCGCAAAGCAATTAAAGCACTTCGGCTTGGCAGTAGTTTAAGATGACGGTGGTTTGGTTTGCCAACCCCTTAGCCTTAGCCAGTCTCTTCTTACAACAAAGCATCACTGGCTCGCCAGCTAGCACTCAGCAACGCTCGCAAGCTCAGCACCAGGTGCGCGCATTCCGCAAACATAGGGCGCCTATACAAGATCAAGCAAGCAGCAACAACAGCAACTTCTACTTCCACCCTTCGACCACAATGCCGTCATGACCGACTCTATGTGAGCACGTTCATTGAAACCCCTGTCAAATATAACGTAAGACAAAATGCCACGTAACCCCATACTGCACGTACCCTGCCGCGCCCAATCTTTGATACTGTCCTACTACAATAGGCTCACCGTGAGACTGTGGCCAGAACCATACCCAGTTGAGGCCTCCATGAAGCCCTGCACCCACCAGCAGGACAGCGGCGCACATGGCACTCAACCAAGACCAGGCCTCAGCCTATTAAGTCGTTCCATAAACAAAAAGAGATCACGATCTAAAGCAGCACATCTCCTGTTGCACCCTAGCAATCATGAGGGTGTGGGGGGGGGGGAAAAGAAAGGCAGTAACACAAACTAATCAGGTCACAGGTTCCAGACCAAATCACTTACAAACTCAACTGAAGGGGAAACCCGCAAGTAGTGAGGTAGAAAGATGCTTTTAACGCAAAACTACACAGAACCAATGCAGAACCTCCAAGATGCGTGAAGAACGCAAATCCCTATCAGCACCCAGCCCATCATGACATCGGCCATGACACTTCTGAATGACAATGTGCAAAGAATGACAGCTTGGGCTGTAGATGATTTCAATACTTCGCTGTCCTTGGGCAAAAAAACTCAGCAAAAGTAAAAAAACATCTTCCAAGCAGCAGTTTCCTCCACATGTTGCACGCATGTCCGATCAGGAGCCACAACAAGATTGAAGCATGTTCAAGGATCCTTCTGCACGCATCGAACCAGATTCTGAAAAAACATATCCCATAGGCATAGCTGCTGCCATAGCACCCAAAGCTCCCATGCAAGCCCGGCACCGCCGGTTTCAAGCCAGCCATTCCAAATGGCAAAGGCCACAGTAGAAGCACAAAAGGCGTTGTACAAGAAAAGGGCGGCCAAAAACGAAGAAGGTGAGCCTGAGGTGGTCGTTTTGCGCGGCCCATCGCTGCTGGAATCAGACAATTCTGATTGCTCCTGCTTCAGCACTGTGTAGACTGGCTCTTGTCCACGCATTTTTTTGCCAAAACGGAAGCAAATGCGCATTGCTTCGCAAGTGAAAGCCATAAAGAAAGGTGATAACCTCATGTCAACAAAGACCAAAACAAAAATAAGCGCAGACACGTGTCTGAGCTGAGATAGATCAATTCTTGCACCCTGGACATTCCTGCAACCCATGACCTAGTGATCGAACAAGTCTCTTTGGGGAGATGTGCAAGCAAGAGGCCTTAAATGGAACATTCTCTAATTGTTGATTTCAGGGCAAACATGGGCATAGGATGGCATAGGATACCCTAGGCGGCATGAAACAAAACCTTCCCACATCGGACAACCAAGTATCAAAAGGATGGAGCCCCAGTAGTGAAGCCTTTCCGATGCTTCCTCCTCGTCAATCTCTGACAACTGTGGAAGGAATCGCTTCGGTGGTGCTGCGAAGAGTGACGGGAAGCGCTCCCTTCGGCAGGTGAAGTTGCTGCCGCACTCTTTCCTCACTGTTCAATTGACACCATAAATCAGAATCTAGTTCCTCCTCCCAGCAAATAAAATTGGTGTGCTACATCAATGTGCTACATCAAACACAAGCCAACGTCTATACCTTTCCTCAAGCGCTGCATCTGGCTGCTCGCGTGAAACTGGAAGTGCTGAATTCAGTTATATATAGATCACTCGCCCCTTCTTCCCGCACCTGTAACTTACTCTTTCTGGAAAATGATGCTGCAATCAAACTCACAGGGTAGGGTCCAGGCCAGTGGGTTGCTGGAAGGGGAGCCGATCCACAGGAACTTGCGGCAGTCATCCCTAGCCTTTCAGTTTTTGCAGCGAACTTGGTAGCACCAGCAATGCTGCTTTGGTGTACCAAGCGGATAAGGTGGGACTCATGTCCCCTCGTGACACTTAGCTTGAAGATTCTTTCATCCGAAGAAACCGAAAACAAGAGTGAACAGTCACGGGCTGGTCACAGAGTACCCAGGACAGGACAAGGAAGAAAGGAAAAAAGAAACAAGACGAAACTATGTTCAATGTCCGGAGCCAAGGACCATTGAGTAAGAAAGCTGGTGCGGACGCTGAAGCTCTGCAGAAAGAGGTCAGCTCAAAACAGCTTTTGAGACCCAGTCCCACGGTCCCCTCTGGCGCGCGAAACAGAGCAGCTTTGGGGGACGGTAGAGGACAACTCGAAGGTCTGCACGCCAAGCATTTCAATTTCTGGACGCAGGCAAGGGGCTTAACAGAATAGCCTATTTCTTTGGCTAACGTCTCTGCCTTTCCTCTGGCTCTAGCCTTAACCTTCAGCCATCTTCAGCCCCATTTTTTGGCTCAAGCCTTCACAGCTCTACCCGGCTTAGGCCTTCACGGCAAGGGGCCAGGATGGGCTACGCACCTTCGATGGGTTGACTTCGGTGTGTACACTTGGTCGACATGGTCGAACATGCTCACAGCCAGAACGCTGAATGAAACCTCCTTGGAAAAAAAAGTAGTCAGCACTAATGTTGACAACTACATATATAGACCATATCTTCCAGTCGGTATAAGTAGAAACGTGAGAAAACGACTGCAGCAATCATCAAGAAAGCGCCAAGCCAAGCGTCCACATGTGAACACTGAACATCTCCAAGACCCAGCCCAGAATTCCCACCACATTTGGTACAGGAACCAGTCGCATGGGCTGACCAAGGGGTGAAACCAATGACGACTATTTTTCGCGTCTGAGTCTGAGCCAAGAGCCAAGATCGTCTGCAATCATCAATCGAGTTAATCGCATGTCTTGCCAAAATCCAAATGTCACATTCAAAGCAAGCGCAGCCTCCGGAACAGTTTTGGTGGTCCACGGTGTTCCGTGTTTCCAACGGAACTGAACAATATGTAGCTCGCTGAGACGATTCAGATTCCTCTGCAAACAAGGGCCTTTCCATGCCTTGCACCTTCTTGAGAAGCTCTTCTCATCACTTCCAAGACAACGTTCCCCTACGTGCTTCGTTCCACTTCCGCTACTCGTTCCACTATCTCATCCGTGCAACGTGTAGAGTACTCACTTTGCCACGAAGCACTGCACATTGCACGACTCCGGGGGTCGCCGCCGCCGATGACGCGCCCGAGGACGCCTGGACCGGTGACGCCCCGGGGCCCCCGGACCGTAGGCCAAGAGGAAGGAGAGGAAGCGCAGAACGAAGTGCATCGCTCGAAAACCGTAGGGCTTGTAAACCTGCCGAGTCCCCAATGTGGTCGGCAACAGCGGCATGTCGTGCATGTACAGAAGGCACGCGGAAGGAAGGCCTTACTAACTCCGTGCCCCAGCTACGTGGAGGGTCATCCCACACCCTAGGCCAAGGCCCTCGTGGCCTTAGGCCCTCGTGTCTTGTTTGGAGGATTCTCACGGCATCTTGTCAAGAAAGGGGTCAATTGTGGGCTTGTCAAGTATGGTCCAAGTATGGAGCAATGACGTAGGATATATCATGATAGTTCAAATAAGATTGTGTTTGTTTACCACGGTTATCATTCACTAGGAGAGAAATTCCGCTTTTCCTCCAAAGTAACTCGTCTGTTGGAACCTTGCTCCGACTGAAAAAAACATTATCCCCAGAAACTCGGCGGCGGCCTGCAACTTGGGGCCCTGCGACCTCAAGCACGTCGCAGCTGTTGCCAATCCGATATGAAGACCAAAATAAAGGACTGACATGGGTCAGATGCGACCTGGACACCTGGGAGGTACTGTCATCTAAGCACCTGGAGAATCAATCAATGCTTTTATGTTGTATACAGGAAGATGGTCACACGTTCAGGTAATTTATGTGGGGCTGCTGTGTCACTGCACACTGCCGCAAGTCAAAAAAGGGGTGTACTTGTGGCAGCAAATCCAGATGTCAATGCCACTACTCAGTTCTACGATACTCTCCTGCCTGTCGGTGTCAAGTTATCTCCAAAAGGTCAGCAATGCAAGGAGAAGAATAGGGGAACGCAGAGAGGGAGCGCCAGTTCGACCATCGGCCATCCAAACAGCGAGTAGCGAGAGAACCCTTCAAGACCATCCGCAAACCGATGGACAGAACCTGGAGGAGACTTCTCATTAATTCAACTAAGATTTTTGGAGATCCTCAAGAGACACCTGGACAGTCGGACAGACTGTTGGCCCTCCTGTTCACAGGGATCCTAAATTGCCCCTGAAAACGAATTGGGCCTGGGTTTCCTTCCTAGCTAAAGGATTTCCTGGTGGGGATCCATTCTCTGGTGCCCCGCTTTCTACTGCTTATAGCTCCTACACCCAACACAACCACCTCAAGATCTATCAATCCAAGTGGCTCAGCTGTGCGCCGAGCATCGGCATCTGCCTGTGGTAGCATGCTTCGAGACCCAGACTGTCAAGAGTTATGAGTCACAGAACTGGTGGATCATCGGATATGATCATTACTGTAACTGGTGACTCAGATATGATCATTTGAGTGACTCACTATTGGATCATTGGTGGATCATTTTGAGCGATTGATTTGTGGATGCATCGAACGGGACCATCATGTAGTAGTAAAGTATACTGTCTACCGCTCTTTCCGCCGCGAACACCATCAAAGAGGTAGGGAATGGGAGGGACGTGAAGAAAGAATGTCGGTCCAGTGCTAAGCCCCTTGGCCTATTCGCTCCAGTGGCTTTAGGGTGTTGGAGACTCGGTGTTTGCCCGCTTGTTCGCTCCACATATGGCTGTACAGTCAAAGACCTTGGTTGACCAGCCAGGTCAACCTACCAGGGTTTGGTTTGGAGCTCCAGGTTTTGACCCATGCCCATATCCTCTGTTTGGAAGGTGGATCTTTCCAAGGTTGGAAGATCTCTCTTCGAAGAATCGGATGGCCACCCACCTCCACGCTCTCCACGCGCACTCGCTGAGAGCGCTCCTCCATTCAAAACTGAGGTGGGCCAGAAGGTGGCCGGGAGGGAAAAGTAGGGATCATGTACATCTACAGGCAGTCTGCAGGCGGTCTGCAGGTGGGATGTCCCCAAGTCCAAATGATATTGCTCCCCTCGTATACTTGCGTTAGGTAGCTATGATGAATGAATGGTTTGTGATGGTTTGTGTGTACTCCTTGATCCTGGATCTGACACCAGTGACCCGTAGTTTACAACAAACATGTCCCTAGTGTCCCTTGAAGGTCTCAGAGTGTGCTTTGGGAATGTTTGGATTGATCACGATCTACAGTTGACCAAATCCCAAGCCACCTTGAATGCCAATTACATAATGTTGACGTCCCGTAATTTTCGGGGCGAGAGACTAGCAAGTGACCTCGAGGATCCTTGACTATTCCGACTTTGTCACAGGATGCGCCTGTAGGTTTAAAAAAATGAATCGACTCTACAGCTTTGTCCATCGTAGGTGGTGATCTCTTCATATTTTCTTGACTGGTCAAAAGCATATGTTTCATTGAGTTTCTTGCGCTTCTCGACACCCCCTGAGATTCATCCATCTTCCAATCTGCATGGAGCTGGCTTTCGCCCATCTCCTTCTGCGTGCCGAAAATCGTGAGCACCATCCTGAGTGGGGCGCGGAATGCGTGGCTTCGCAGTGGTGCTTTGGCGGCTTCTCTCAAGCTGTCGTCAAAGAACAATTGGGTCACACTTTGGGAAGGTTGTGTCCAATTTGTGAATGAAAGCTGCAAACTCCGCATATTCTGGTGAGGCATAAGATGCCAAGTCGGGGCAAATGCAAGAAAAACAAAGATCAAGTTTCAAAAAATAAACGTCATCAATACCTTGGGGGTGAATCAAACCCTTTACTTCTAAACGAGCTCCTGAATGCCATCGCTTTCTGCGCTTTCTTCGGTGGAACCATTCGAGTGCTTCTGCTTCTCCCGGGTGCCCCCGACTGTTGCAGCATGCCTTCCGCCGAGGACCTGTCCAAACGATGCGGATCGACCACCGACCACCGGACGGACCACTCCAGCCGGGTGTTAGCTTTAGGAGTCCGGTGCTTGGCCTCACCACGCTTCGCTTGAGGGATCCAGGTACCGGTTTCCTGTGAGCGGCAGATCCAAAACTCTCAAGCATAGTGTTTGTGGAAGCCTTCCACTTTCACCATTAGGTTCCTGAGCAAAAGAACTCAACCACCGAAGACCGTTTGCAGATTTGCAAGAAGAATGTCCTGGTTGCAATGGGTCACCGGTGGGCGTTCGTGTTTGTTCAGCTTTCATGGATTGCGCATCAATGAGCCTCTTGTCAAGGGCCCGTCCAATGTTGTGATGTATGTTGTTCAAACATCCCACCATCACTGAACAAATGGATGACAATGGTTGATTCAGACCTGTGCCAAAACAGATACCTTCCAGTCCACTTCACTAAACATAAGGTGCCATGGGCCAGGGTGTTGCCCTGGAAGTACGACAAAAGACTTTTCATCTTCATCTCTCAAGGTTTCGCCACTGGTAGAGGTGCCCCATCTGCTCTCTCTCCCCAATGGGGCGATCTTCACAGGTTGACCTTGGGCGACATGACCCAAATATCCTTCGATGCTCAATCTGCTCAAGCCAAGAACATAGCTCTAAACATATACATCCACTCCATCTGCTCGATTTTGGAGGCCTCAGCAAGTTCTTCTATCAAGCCAAGAACAACCCATCCACCCATTCCATTGAAGGCCTCAGCAAGTGTGAGGCATTCGGTTGTCTGCTCACCTGGAAGCACTTCCTCACCTCATCACACAAAACGTGCCAAACGCGACGAGACTTTCGAACCCGACCCGAGCGAACGCGCCTGTGCGAAAGCCACGAACGTGTGACGAAGCGGCAAAGGGTCGATCAAGCAATGAAGAAAGAAGGATGTTCACAGAGAAAAATTGGGTACAAGTAGCCGAATGTCTCCTTTTCTGTGGCGGTGTGATGGTGTGTGCTCCTCTATTCCCCACACTGGGAGGATCACTGTAGGAGTTCAATTGGTCAATTCAGGGTAGTCTTGGAGTGGTATGCAGGATTATGCAGGTCCATCCCAATCTTGATCGATGTTTCATACTATAGTTGATTCATACATGTTCATACCTTAGAAGTTCTTGCGATTTCTATACTACTCCTAAGATCTCGTAAGCCCATTCAAGCTGCGCCCTCCGACAGCCCTGGCAGACCTACTCCGGACCGATTGAGGGCCCCAGGGGCCATGTGCCACACGCAGAAGTCGCTGAGGTAGGGCCCAGCGCTACACCGAAGGCAGTCTAAGAGCAAGCCCACCTGACTCGCAGGGCCAGTCAACACAGGTACCACGCGAAATACGGTAGGCAGGGGCACCGGTGTGTTCTTTGTTGTTGCCCCACACGGCCTATGGAACACGACGTACAGTAGTACCCCTTCCTTTCTTTCGGAAAAGGAAACATTTCCGGGATGTCGTACGGAGTACTGTACTGGTGACTTGGTGACTTGGTGAGTCTGGTTTTTGCTTTTAACCAATCTGTTGCTGCTTGGTGAGTTGTGTGTATGTTGTATGTGTGTGTGTGTCAGTGTGAGCGTGGGCCTTCTTCCAATGCATCTTTTTGTGGAGTCGCGGAAGGCGAACCAAACATCTACAACACCGAAGAAAAAAACATGGAAGTGGATGGCATGGCCCCGAGTTCGGAAGATGTTCCATCCACTAGTTAACAGGTGGCTTTTCACTCCACGGCAACCATGGAGACGTTCCAGGGGGAGTCAAACACCCAAGAGTCCAAGTCGTTAACAAGTCTCGTGCCCTTGTCAGGTCGGTTCTCGTGCGCTAGACGATTCGTCGTCCTTTGCGGCGCCAAACGAACGTGTAAACCTGCGTCGCTGTGCTCCGTTTGATGCACTGCAGCCGTGCAGGTTTGAAGCTTATTCCACACGGAGAGTTCAGATGGCCAACATACCATCCATGAACTGCTCACCCTCCCTCTCCTGTTTATATATGCACTGAAACCCATGCACAGCCGTCGAAGGAAGAATTCTCCTGCACCATGACATCCCCAAACAACAAAACCAACACTATAAGGACGACTATAAAAGTGTTTTAGAACATAGCCTTCTGTTGTATAGACTTCATCTCAAGGTGGTGTGAACATTCTTCCCTCTAGACTCCACAGCAGCTCTGTCTTAGCTGCTCTCTTAGCGCTCCTTTTTCATCCGTTCTCCGTAGCTCTCGGCGCTCCCAAACGCGCACGCAAACCCTGTTACCTTCCTCCGGCGCAGTCGGTCAAGACCGCCCGGCAGTCGGCCGCGGCGTCTTACGATGTCTGACGAACTCCCCCAGACGGCCCACCCTCTCAGGTCGTCGCCTGGACCTTGGAATTGGCTGGGTGAGGTGAGGGGACAAAGAGAAAGTGGCATTGAAAGTGTCAACTTTGAGATTTCCTATTTGGGCAAGAAACAACAATAAACAAACAGAAGAGAACCAAACGAAACTGCTTTTTGATGATATTATTTATATGGCGGATGTAATTCTCTATGGACTAGATGGACTACAGAAACTGACAAATCCCAGGCACTCAGTCCACCCGGTAGACATAGATGTTGCCATCCGTGGAGCCAGCGAAGAGCAGGGTGCCATCGGCGTTCCAGGACAAAGACACGCACCAAGGGATGCCGTTCTTGGATGGGTTGATGGCACTGAGTTCCTCCAGCACCTGCTTGTTCTCCAAGTCCCAAACGCGGATGGCATTGTCGGTGGCCGCGGTCAGCCAATAGTTCCTTGGGCTGAAGGTCAATGCGTTGATGGTGCCTCCGGCGTCCATGGAGTAGAGGTGCTTGCCCTCGTTGACATCCCAAAGCATCATGGTGCCATCCTTTCCTCCGGAAGCACACAGCGAGCCATCAGGAGACACTGTGGTGGCATACACCACGCCCGTGTGGCCAACCAAGTTGGTGCGAAGCTTGCAGTTGCTCAAGTTCCACACCTTCACCAGCTTGTCCCAACCGGCGGACACAATCAAAGGCATCTTTGCTGATGGGGAGAAGCCAACTGAGCTCACCCAGTCTGTGTGCATGTCGTCGACGATCGTGTACTTGCACTCGGCCAAGGTGTTCCACAACTTGATGGTCTTGTCCCGGCTGCCAGAGACAATCTGACGGTTGTCCCCGGAGAAGGCAACGCTGTTTACGTCCTTGGTGTGACCTTTGAAAGTTCGAATGGTAGAGCCGGTGTTCAGGTCCCAAAGACGCATGGTCTTGTCCCAGGATCCAGACAAGGCATATTGGCCATCCGAAGACAGCACAGCACTTGCCACGCACTGACCGTGACCATGAAGGGAACGTCGAGCATAGCCTGGGTTCTCACCATCAGGGGTGAGCTCCCAAATCATCAAGGTCTTGTCTCGCGAGGAGGACACCACCAAGTTGCTCTGCTCGTAGGTGCATGCGATGGCGGTCACCCAATCACGGTGGCCCGTGAGGGTACCGACATACTGCAGTGCGGAATCGCCACTCATCGTTGTTGTTTTTTCTAGGGAGTTCTCTCAGCTTTGATTGGATACGGCTGCCAGTTGTCGGAACATTAGCATGCAAAGCACACATATGCCACTCGCAAAGTATAGAAACAAAGTCGCTTTACAAATCACTGACTAGCAGGAAGCACTCTGCCAATATAATGAATGATTCCAAGATCAAAAAAAACAACACTTGTCGTGTCCGACTGCAAACCAGGACATGAAATGAGCCAGTGCAGCCAAAAATCCAACAACACAACGGAGCGATCCGAAACAGTCCCGGGACGCGCTTCGAAAGAAAGGAACGTATCTGAAGCGGAGGAACTTTCTGACTGGTGCTTAGTAAAGAATGAGGGAATGGATCCTATGGTATCTATAGTGAGGGGTCATTCTCTCATTTCCTACTAAGCACCAGTCAGATGTTCATGAACCTGCACCAACTGTCAAATGTGAGAAGATCAGCAGTATTTGACAATGGTAGTGCTGGTAGTTTGCTTTGCAGCTCGTGCAGCATTTCGTCATACTACAGGTAGCTGCTTGATCCTGACCCATACCCATGAGATGGCGTTTCAATGTTGGGTGAACCCCCAACGCAATGGCTATTTATCATTGTGTATGTTCTATTTTGCCTTGTGCCAGGTCCGTTGCTGGGGAGAAAGAGGGCTTCGAAATCCATAGCCACACCCCTAGCTACCCTTCAAGACTCAGCCGCAGCTTGGCGCCAACGACCAAGAAGACACTGAAGCCTTGCCCTTTTCGTCTCATCCGTAGCCGCCTGGGTTCGCTTCGCATCTCAGGACCTGCACCCAAAGGCCTTCCTCCGGCACCAGTGGCCCGGCAGTCGGTCGCAGGGTCTTTCCATGTCTACTCCCCTCAGTCGGCTCAGGAATCCACCCGGTAGACATAGATGTTGCCATCCGTGGAGCCAGCGAAGAGCAGGGTGCCATCGGCGTTCCAGGACAAAGACACGCACCAAGGGATGCCGTTCTTGGATGGGTTGATGGCACTGAGTTCCTCCAGCACCTGCTTGTTCTCCAAGTCCCAAACGCGGATGGCATTGTCGGTGGCCGCGGTCAGCCAGTAGTTCCTTGGGCTGAAGGTCAATGCGTTGATGGTGCCTCCGGCGTCCATGGAGTAGAGGTGCTTGCCCTCGTTGACATCCCAAAGCATCATGGTGCCATCCTTTCCTCCGGAAGCACACAGCGAGCCATCAGGAGACACCGTGGTGGCATACACCACGCCCGTGTGGCCAACCAAGTTGGTGCGAAGCTTGCAGTTGCTCAAGTTCCACACCTTCACCAGCTTGTCCCAACCGGCGGACACAATCAAAGGCATCTTTGCTGATGGGGAGAAGCCAACTGAGCTCACCCAGTCTGTGTGCATGTCGTCGACGATCGTGTACTTGCACTCGGCCAAGGTGTTCCACAACTTGATGGTCTTGTCCCGGCTGCCAGAGACAATCTGACGGTTGTCCCCGGAGAAGGCAACGCTGTTTACGTCCTTGGTGTGACCTTTGAAAGTTCGAATGGTAGAGCCGGTGTTCAGGTCCCAAAGACGCATGGTCTTGTCCCAGGATCCAGACAAGGCATATTGGCCATCCGAGGACAGCACAGCACTTGCCACGCTCTGACCGTGACCATGAAGGGAACGTCGAGCATAGCCTGGGTTCTCACCATCAGGGGTGAGCTCCCAAATCATCAAGGTCTTGTCTCGCGAGGAGGACACCACCAAGTTGCTCTGCTCGTAGGTGCATGCGATGGCGGTCACCCAATTGCGATGACCCGTCAGGGTGCCGACATACTGCAGTGCGGAATCGCCACTCATCTTTTCTTCCAGGGAGTTCTCTCAGCTGTGATCCGATACGGCTAGGTTAAGAAGAAGTCAAATTACAATGCAAGTGAATGTTACCAAACAACCAGATTTGCCCATCAAAGGATTGGCATATATACAGCTAGCAGTAAGACCAGCTTAGAATCAGAAATGGATCTGCCTCCCTGGCAAACATGCCAAATCTATCTAAATCTGAGCTCATCTCATGTTCACGCCTTTCTCGCCTTGTTCTTTAAAAGTCAGACTACTACCCAAACATGCGTGTTTGCGCGATAGAAAGCGCGTCGTCGTGTTCCGCGTCGTCGCGGTGGCGCGCGCCATCTTCAAGAGCACCACCTCATCGCTGGCCCATCCATTAGACCTCACAACAGTCGTCGCGGTGGAGAGAGTCGACGCAACAGAAAGAGTCGTGGAGATGAGGCTGTTGGAGAGGCTGTGAGTGCACATCTGTATGTTAGTGGACATCTGCATATGTTGCATGCGTTGTAAGACAGGTGCTTTGCTGGATACACTGAGTTGTTAGTGCTTGAAGTAGAGTGATTTGGCTTGCTTGGTGTTGGTTGTCTTCGGTTGCCAGGCCAGGCTCTTCCGGATGGACTTGTGCCCCTACGCTGCACAGAATGGCTACATGGACATGATTCATAAACTCCCCCAAACATTGTAAACTGTAAAATCTCCTTAGACCATCTTAGACCTAGACTTAGAAAGGGCCTTGATGTACAAAATCAAGAGTCTTGACTTGAGGCCAGGGGGAGAGGTCGAAAGCTAGCCGAATCGCACCGGATGTACTAGTTACATAGTCGGCAAAGCATGTAGGGATTACATGTTTTGGGAGGAAGGTTGCTATGTACATACTTTGCGCTAAAGAATGTAAATGTGACATCGCTGACTGGGAAGGGTACATTGGAACAACCCGGGTGCACTCGTTGGCAGGCACGAAGATGCGTGATCGGCAAATCTGGGGGGTAAATTTACCCTCCGCTTTTGTATGCCTTGAGTCGGAAAGATGGGTAAGCATTTCTGACATCATACGGACTGTACATACACTAGGGCGTCCGTAGTGTAGGAGAAGCACGGGTAAAAGGTATATGGAATAGAGTGTCTTGAGGAAATAGCCGGTGTATGGTTATTGCAAATCTGGGGGGTAAATTTACCCCCCGCTTATGTATGCCTTGTGCTGGAAAGAGGGGTAGGCATTTCTGGCATCACAAGGACTGTGCATACACTAGGGCGTCCGTAGTGTAGGATAAGCACTGGTAAAAGGTATCAAGAATAGAGTGTCTTGAGGAAATAGCCGGTGTATGGTTATAGCAAGCCTGGGGGGTAAATTTACCACCCGCTTATGCATGCATTAGGTTAGAAATAGGGGTAAACAACTTGTAACGGTGAAGTACAAGTCCTATGCAGCAAGCAGCAGCCAGCAGCAGCAGCAGCAGCCGCCTGCAGCCAGCAGCCAGCAGCAACCACCAACCAGCAGCCAGCCAGCAGCACCACGCAGCAGCAGCGCAGCATCAAGCCGCAGCAGCAGCAGCACCACCGGCAGCAAGCACCACCGGCAGCAAGCAGCAGCAGCAAGCAGCAAGCAGCAAGCAGCAGTAGCAGCGGCGTCGTCAGCCGCAACAAGTAGCAAAGCAGCAGCTACAAAAGCGGCAACCAGCGGCAGCAGCAAACAGCAGCAGCAAGCAGCAGAGCGGCAGCAGCAGCAGCACCCTTTACACCAAGCCACCGTTTACACCCAACCAACCACGTTCAACCAACCCCCTACACGGCGCAGCTGGGAGTTGAACCGCGGGGGGGGGGGTTAGCTTGATATATCAATCTTTAAGGCACGCAGCCCCTCCCACCACAACATTGCTAAAGCAAAGAAGAACTCAGCTAGCATGCTAGCTTTCGTGACATGTGGGTTGTCCAGCGGTTCAAAACATTCTGGCCGACGCAGCCCGAAGTCCCAGCCCCAACCCATCCCCCATCCAACCACGTCCGTGTTCTTCTTGCGCTCCGAGCAGGAAGCGGCAGTGGATCACCCCCCAAGCGACCGTATTGATCGCCTCCACGTGGCGACACGCGAGGCGCGGAGGCACGTGGATGTTGGTGGATGATGATAAAGAGAAGTGAGAAAGCACGGCACTTGTGGCGGTGGGTCTGGTTTAAAAAAGTCCTCGGAAATTGGTGGGGTGTGAAAAGAACACAGGAACATGAAGAGAATGAACTGCTAGCTGCTACCCATAGGACCCATATGGTGCTTATAGGTATATATATACCTAGGTGCGGCAAGTCTCGTAAGGACTGAATTCGCCGTTGCCTGCGAATTCGACTCACTTCGTGACACGACGTACTCAGCACGTGCTCCGCATAGGAAGAGTCCAAAACACGGATGGGAACGACACCCGGTGATACTTAGACGTTCCCAAATCAGGCTCGTCCCATTCGGCTTTGAAGTCCCAACGACACGGGCTCCTTCACCTTCACCCCATGATGTGGCTCCTTCACGGTCCCGGACCTTTCCCCCCGGGCGAAGATCGGTGGAGTTTTGGGTCCGATTTGAGCCCCCCAGACTCGGTCGGGTCCGGACTCGGAGTCGGGGAAGATGGGGGAATGGGGTAGACGACGACACCCCGGTGAATGGCACCGAGTTCACGGGCCTCCGGTGGGCACCTGCTAACCTTCCCTTCTAGGGATGCAGAAGACAGCCCTGCCGAACCAGAACCGAGAAGGGAGGACAACGTGGGTTCTACAAAAGCAAACCACTCAATCCTACATGTAGGCTGTGACATGTTGCATGGCTGTGCACGGCGTGTCTGGGTCGTTGTCAATTTCTTGTAGCACCTGTTATATAGCAGCTTTTTGGTGATCTTCATTGAAGAGATGGCTACAGTAGATATAAGACCCGGAAATTATCTTCCAATTTTGCATCTCACAATACCTCGTAGGCCTCTGGACGAGCCGGTTTGTCAACTAGAAACGATTAAAAAAAACGAAGTCATGGTTAAAGGAGTTCATATGGCTGTGCGTAATTGCGCAGGGGCACCCTGCTAGATCACCCGGCTCAAATGAACAGATTCCTCAAGGCTGGGATGTCAACCTATGACCCACAGCCATATTATCTGACCTGGTTGTGTTCCCTATCTCACCGTGCCAGTAGCATGTTCTCTCGAGCTTCCTGTGGCCTGTGAAGGCCCAAGAAAGGTCAGTAGCCACTTCCAAAGACTTCATATGTCAATCGTGTGCCCCCAGCGTTTTGTTCCACAATCATCGAAACCATTGGAGTCCAAAAAACATCCAACAAACACCGTAGGATCCCCTCTGCGGACTTGACAGATCCATATCGCGTCGCCCAGGTGCAGGAACTACATGTCGCAGGCACTCACATGTTGCCCTACTGTGGGCAACAAAAGGTGTACTGTTCACTAAGAGGTGTACTACTGGGTCTATCTTCACTAAGAGGTACACTGGAGGTGTACTGAGAACAGCACCTCCGAACTCCAAGCTTCATTTTTTCCGATGCAGAGCTCTCGCTGGTTGAGTCTGATGCATCAGAAAACTTCAAACATACATATCCTTGTCCTTCATCTCGGCTCCTATCCAGAAATACAAGTTCGCAGCAGCTCTTGTCTCTGTGCTCCTCTTCTTGCTCATTCGCCCATGCTTCTATCTCCTGGGACACGTCCTTTATTCGCTGCACGAAGGCCAGGTCTTCTTCAATCGGCCCGGAGAAAGGAATTGAGATGAGATACCGCAGGATCATGATGAACCGCAGAGGTAGCGTCAACATCACCAGCAACAGCAGAAGGGCTCGGAAGATACGAGCAGGAGTTTGATCTTTTAATGCCCCAAAGCCAGTCAAGGAACCTTCAAAAAGATCCGACAAGCATGATGAGGCTGCCAGTGCACATGCCCACAAGGGCTCAGCAAATTCCTCGAGTAGCACTGGCCAACCCATAGGCCTTGCCAAACCGTGCCATGACCGGAAGCCGTCGGGGAGATCCACACAAGTGCTGAGCACCACCAAAGCAGTCAGGCGCAGCAGAATGAACAGAGCTGCTGGCCATCCCTGTCCTTGAACTTCAGACTGCGCTGTCTGGAAACCACGCTCCAAGCGAAAGGACCATGAGTTGGTGTGGTATCCAAAGAAGACATCTAAAGGATAAAGCAATGAATTGGTGAACACTTGGTCCTCCGACCTGGAAGCCAGTCTATTGACAATGGCTGCCAGAAGGTACAATAGCATGTTGAGGATGGGGTGGAAGGTCCTGCTGGTGACGGCAAAGGTGGCCAGTTCGGAGATCGAGGCCAAGAAGTACCAAGCATCCATCCTGGACTTGGCCTATTGAATCGTACGAGGTCCGTCAATTGGAACATAGCAACAAAGGTGAAGTGACCTGAACTAGGACCCGTCACCGGGAGTACCTATAGCACAGTCTATAGGCCTATAGGGTTCTTCAACCTCTGCTGGTATATCAGGTATCGGGAAGGGAAAACATGTGGGGAACTCTGAGCTGATCCATCCTTCAAAGCACAAGGTGACCTGACCCTCCATCCCCCAAAAAACACAGTCGCAGCTTGCCAGGTTTTTGGATCAAATCCCAGTATCACAGTGGCAGCCACTGGCCGCAAGGCACTTAATGCTGCAGTCCTGCGCCAGAGTTCCCAGCTCATGCGCCCTCTGCCAATGTGCCGCGCAGAGGAGTAGAGCCCATACCTGAGGCCAACGAGCGTCAATGAATCACAGAAGTGGTTTAAGGGAAAATCTACAGGAAAGCCGTGGTTTGGGGTGTAAAAACAAGGGTTTGCAGATTTTCCCTTAAACCAATTCATTGAATGAAATGCGTGAACGCATTCCTATGGAACAGGAAACGGGGCTTGGCAGCAGAGTATGCCCCAGTCTATGCCCCGTGCATCCTGGTCTGAGGATACGTGAGACCTACACCTTGGGAAAATGAACATTGAGACCTAGCACTAGCACCAGCAGAAAGCCAGACTTGTTGCCCACAATGTATCATAAGAAGGAAACCATCACACAACATCTTGAAGCATTGCCTGGATACGAGGCGCTTGCAAGGCCCAGCCAGCTCATGTGGTCCTTGTCTCGGCCACATGAAACGGTACGAATATGCACTCGCGTCGCCTCTCTAACATAGTTGGACTGCACACATCGTGATCCCCCATATACACGTTCTACGTGGGGATCTACGAACTTCTATCTATTTGGGGGTCAATACTGTCGCCGTGCACCCCAAAGGCTGTCACTCAGGGTCAAGTACAAGGACCACCGGAAAGGAGGACCAGGTGAGACGTGCTGGTGCCTGACCGAGGCTGGACCGGACTCACTCTTGTGGGACTCACTCTCCTGGACCTGTATGAAAAAATGAATGGAATCTGGAGCGTCCAGGAGTCCAGTTTCCGTTTTTGAAACACATATCACATATCCTCTTGTTAACGAAGAGGAATGAACCCTGCGGGTCAAGTGGAAGACCCCTGTAACCGAGCAAGAAGAGGAAGACCCTTGTGAAGGTTACAGATAAATCATCTTGCCATTGAGGGGCAACAAGTATGCGGGATGTAGTTTGTCATCTTCATTCACGGTCACGCATCCTTGTTACCACTGTTTCACTGCTGCAACCTGGGTTGACCAGTAACTTTCATGACAAGACAATATCGATCAATTTAGTGCAAGTTCAGCCCGTCTCAAATACAAATGTTGCCTCATGCTGCCTCTAATCTCAGGGTGCCAAGTACTTAAGAAAAACATGTCCAGCCCAAGGTGATTTTGTGGCGATACGTTTAGAGCTTCATCAAATGGTTCAAGACCATCTTTCATCATTCTCAGCTGCTCATCTGCAACAAGCCGAGCGGCCAGGAAGCAAAAGGCATATGGCGGCACCAAGCCAGTCCCTGAGCATGGCTGCAGCTCTAGATGAGACGTACATCTATGACATCCTTTGCAGGCACTAGCTTGGGGTTGGTTTTGTCCTACTTCTCCATTTATCATACCCTCAAAAGGTGTCAACTAGTGGTTGTGGTGGGTCTGTTCATGTATCTCTTCTTTCGAAAGAAAGCATTGCACGCCTGGCGCTTCTATCTCCTGCTCTGCCGATTGCAGTCGCCACCACCCATCTGTGCGGTACCCCCTTCGCAACGAGTTGAGCGCTTCCCACCAAGGACTGTAAGGCCAGCGGAATGTACTGGCAAATACATAGATGGCCGTGATCAAAGCGAATACGAATTCCTGCGATGCACGGAATTTCCTCTTCTTCTTTCGGTTGTGTGCATGTAAAACAAGGTTTTTATTTAGACCCCCTGAAAAGGAGCTTCCCGCCAGAAGAGCGGCCACAAATCTATATCAATCCTACTCGGTCGCATCAATGCAACAATTCCCAGCAGGAAGCAGACAATTCCCAGCGGCCTTTTGTCGAAGATATGATTTGATGGTTAGAAGCAACATGTCTGTGCATCAACATCAAGATACATCAAGTAAGCACGAAGACATCAGGGTGCATCCATTTGTCTGTGCTTTGTGCTTAGTTCCATCATCCATGTTAAGAACTTCAACCAAGGTCTCCAGAATCTGTGCTTTATCTCACACTAAGCACTGTGCACCCAGGGACAAACATTGTCAAGAAAACTGTGTCGCCACATCTGGAACAAGCTTGTGTCAGCAGGTTGGGCGGGAAAGCAATGTTCCGCTGTATGAAACTGGTCCTGCTACATGAATCTGGTCTGCCGCAGCAAATTGGCTTTCACAACAGAATCTCTTGGAGCCATCGAAGCAAAAAAGAACAGTCCTGCGCTGATATCAAGGTGACGATCTGGTAGGTGTCATTGACGTAATCGAAATAATAGAAAAACAGATCGGCAAAAATACCACCTGCTTCAGATGGGCAGCTCAAGTTGCTGAAGAAGCCCCACAAAAGTGACTTTTTGTGTGCAGGGAAGTTGGCCAGGTAGATGCACTAGTTACTCCCCTGCAGATTGATTAACATTGAATTTTTAAAAATAAATCACCGGGTTGTAGAGGAAAAAGGTCGAAACCACCGGTCAATTCTCAGGTTCCATGTTAGTTTGCGGGTTTGTTATGTCTCTGTCTCTGTCAGGAAAATATCCTGCGATGGAAAATAACTATTGGAAGTTGGTGACATCAGTTGGAAGTGCAACATGTGTCACCGTTATGGATCAAGCTCGTGTCAGAAGCAAAACAACCTTGGAAGCCAGCCGTGCACTTTGCAACCAAGAACCTGGCCTGGTGGGCAGACTTTGATGGCCACAAGCGGCCGATAACCATCCGGCTTCGGCAAACCCATCGGCGTACACCAACAGCATGGCTGCCGGGGGTGAAGAAAGTCGTCGAAAGCAGGGATGACAAGAGCCAACAGCCATCGTAGGACAGGCTCAAATCGCAGAAAAGCGCAGGTTCGTTGGGAAACAAAACAATCCTTTTGCGGTTCGGATGAAGCCTCAATCCTATAGGAATCCTATAGGTTTCCACGGCCCCAAATCTCTATCTATCTGGTGCCTCCAATGAAACCCACTGAACCTTCCTTGCAACGTTTGGGTGAGATCCGTAGGGGCGAACCTGCTGCTGAACATCTCCCTCAAAGTCCTTCCAGCACCAGGTCGATAGCAATAGCTCATGGTATCTATAACTCAGGAAGTCAATTCAATCACTAAGGACTTGAGCATATGTTTGGTGCACATTGCTTGTGGTATGGTTGTGACTCATCGTTACTCATCGTTCTTCAGCAGGGTTGCACCTGGCTCACAAAAAATGATGTGACTCACATCTGGAGGCATTTAAAAACTGTATAATAAGTCATGGCTAATTAGTATCTTTTTGGTATGCTTTATCCCTAGTACATCATTATATGACATGTACGGATCTTGGGATTTATGGCAACCACATCTTGTGGAGTCACCAAATGCGGGGCGGGGCAGCATCCGGGAGGAATCAAGCTCACGTGCCGTAGCTCACGTAAACCTCCGTGGACCATCGGTCGACTCCCCGTCCCGACCTCCATGGACTTCGGGCTCTCCGGGTGGACCAGTCCGAAGGACACCTGAGTCCGTCCGAGCGGTTTCTGCCGGAAGGTTGAGGCAACAGGACCAGGAGGATGGACGGTCCTAACTACGCTGCGATGGTTATTGGATGCCAAACAAGTAGAGGATCGAAACAAATAGACAAAGCATGACAAAGCATGGTGTCTAGATGTTTGCATGAAATGAATGCAAGGATCGAATTCTTTGGAGTTCTTATGGGATTGTTCACCATCTCGGGGATTGAGAGCCTTAACAATCTTAACAAGGGAAGAGTGACTATAGGGCCAATTTGGCACACATGGATGGGTTGTCAGAAAATAGAACACTGACAACATGCAACAAAAAGTGTCCACCACCAAATGATTTCACCGACGTTAATGACCAAACAAGAATGCTTTGACAGGGATATTTCGACCATGCAACCAGGTGAAGCTTTGGTAGTTCCTGGTGGAACACAGGTCGGACTGAAACCCTTTGAGCGACTCCACCTGCGCATTGGGGCACCACACGAACTTGTCCACAGCTTCTAATGCCACCTGCCCAGACGTGCTCCGTGACAACTACCCGACCCCACCCGGGGTCGAACCTCGAAGACCTGAGGCTCGTCTGACGACTTCGCGTCGTCGGACGCGAGTGACCGAGCTCAGGGTTGACCAACTGTCTTGCTCAGCCTCTACGCTCTGGTTCCGAGACCGCTCTGAACCTGAAGACCATTGGGTGGTAGAGGAAAAAATCGTCGTCCAAACGTTCATGCCACCCCGGTGTACAACGTGCAGCCCGCAAAGATGCGCAAAGGAGGGCCTGTCCACTGAAATGTGCTCATGCACATAGCCCAAGGCCAGGTTTTGACCAGAATCACGTGTGATAGAGGGAAGAAGTGACAAAGGGGAAACAATGGAAGATTAAGAGGGACTGGTTGGGGTGAAGGAAAAGCCATGTGCAAAAAGTGTCAATATCGACAGCCCTTGATGCATTAGGTACTCCAACAGCCGGAGAGTACAAAGCACATTTAAGATTCAAGAGTAATATGACTCAAGATGGTTTGCTATAGTTCCATCTTTCCCTATCGAAAAATCGCTCCTAATGGATCTAAACAAAGGGCCGATTTCGGAATGATTGGCAACACCCGTGGTCCTGCGACCAGCACCCTACCAGCACCTTCATGGTAACAAGCCCCCGGTTAGCCACTAAGGGACCTCCAGCCACACCCCCTTTTTCAGGTCCAGGTAGTATCTCATTGCTTCGTCCATCTTCGACCCCTGACCACCTCGGATTCGGGCCCCCCGACCCCTCGGGTCGCGCGTCGCGCGTCGCGCGTCGAGCGCCGCACCGCCGTGAGCTCCCCGGAGGTGGCATCCGACTGGATCACCTGCGAGGGCGCGAGAACCCGCGGTCCAGTGAAGCGTGCCAAACAAAGCCGGGAGTGCTGGAAGATACATTCCAGGACCTACAAGGGGGTGGTGAATGGACACGCAGAATCACCTCTAAGGAGCTATCAATGGAAACCCCCTTAGGGGAAGAGTTGCTGGAAGAGTTACTTAACAATTTTTGGAACATCAGGATCATTACGGAAGATATACCCATTGTATGGGAATGTATTAGGGTCATCGAGGGTCATTATGGAATAGCTACATACATTTACCCCATGAAAATTGCCTGAATGTATAACATTCCTTAGGGATCCAAGTACCTTCTCAGAAGGTACTTGGGCCCTCCAAGCCTACATAAAGAGTCTCCAATCACCTTCTGAGAAGGCACTTGGATCCCTAGGGATTATATAAGTATTCCAGCCCCATGGATGGTTTTGGGCCCAAGGCGGTTCGTCTGCAAGGACATGGCCAAAGGTGAAACAAAAACGAACCTCTGAACCGTGTCGAGTTTATTCTAGAAGCGATTTTCAGGGTCAGTCGGTTCATCTGCAGGATGAACTGCTGCCACACTCCCGGAGTAGCCTAAACTTCTCCGAGGCGTATTGCCGTAAAATCCGTAGATCTTCGGAGGCTCAGCTCTTCACAGAAATACGTAGGTACCTGATGCTTGGACTGGTGGGATGTGCTGGTACACCCCCTGTTTACCAAAAGTATTTTGTGTCATATCCTATCCGGGTATGAATATGGGGGGGGCAAAGACCATGAGGTTCCCTCAGGTTCCCTCGCAAAAGCTTTCATGCCACATCCAACGGATGTTTTCGAGCAAGGACATGCACTCACTGCACCTCCCGCCGCAAAGCCACCGCCCACGTGCCGCCCGAGGCAAGGGCACCGCGCCTCGAGGAAGGGATTCACGTACGCGACGATGTCGAACTCATGGAGCTCGTGCATGTACCTGAAGAGCAGGGGGCTCTAGGCGGCTAGGGATCCAAGTTCCGAAGATTCCCCAAAAGGGTTCGTCGAAGTTGGACGAATGGACGTAGGGAAGGCGGATGAGTCTTCTAAGAGCTTAAGTATGTCACTACGAAACGCCCTTCGAGTCGAAATCAACTAATGAATGGAGATGAACGAATTGACTGCTTGAAGACTAATTTTAAACTTCAAGAATCCCAAGGACTAGCAATGGTCCAGAACAGTTTGACTCAGTGGCAGACTCAACCTTCATCCACAAAGCAGTACGTTTTGGGTCTATGATATGATCTGCTTGAGTCTCTTTCCCCAACATGGCCAAAGACCGCTTTCCCTGCGGAAAGTCTTAGATTTGCTTGAGGAACCTGGAAAAAAAAATAAAATATATTATATTCCCGAGAAAGGGGATTTAACCAGTTCAGGAAAGTCAAGAATCACCAGATCTGCAAACCATTTCATCGACTCAGCGACTGAAGACTTTCGACTCAGCCGCTGCTGAAAGCTCCAGCGACCTGGTCGGACCACCAACAGCCCAAGCCACGTGAGTTCCTCAAAGAGCTGCTGAAACCTCAGTCGCAGCGCTGTGGCCCGCTTTTCGAAGCATCGGTGCCTAGGGGTGCCGAAGACCTTTCCTGGGTGAAGAAGCTAAGAAGGTTTGAAGACCAGAAGTGCCTAGAAGAAGTGAGAATCTGGGAACTCTGTCAATGAAGATGGCTGGCGCTGAAAAAAAGACTTTTGCTGAGCAAATTAAATAGCAAGCACATGTGAGCAAGTAAGCATGTTCTCAAATGAGAGTTCTGAGGCATGTTCATCATTATAGTTGGCCCGGAAAAGGAAGACGGGAGGAAAGAGAAGTGCTTGTCTGATTATATAACAAAATCTGGTAGCTCGAGTTACCTGCGAACATCATGGAACATCTGCAACGATGCTCTTATTGAACGTCCAATTGACACCTATCACTTCCCGCTGCGCACCTCACCAGCTCCGCACCAGCCAGAAACACCTCGCCAAGTCGCGCTTTCAGAGAGTTCATGTGGAACTTGGCCTGCGAAGGAAGAGCTGAGCTGCACGGAGCTGCGCTTCCCATGTCGCTGTGGTACATGATGGCTGTGGGTCATGGCAGCCGGGCAACCTGGTTGACCGCAGAACATGAACAGAATGGCTTAGCAAGGAACCTAACAGGGTTTCTTGCCTATGAGCAACTTGCAAGGCCCTTGCAGAAGCTATATGTCACACTCGGCTCAGCATGAATGGCTCTATTGAGTCTATTATCTGAACAAGAGTTCTCCACAGCGCTGCTATTCATATCCAAAAAGCTTATTCTTCTATGATGGGCCTGTCCATCTGATCGAATTGTCATCGTCACTCGGTCCGCCCTTGCCCCCCTCTGGGAAGGCCTGCGGACTGCTCATGTGCGTCGGCCGCGTGAGTCTTAACCTGCGCGTCGTTCTTCGTTCGGTGCGCGTCGAACGTCGTTTGTGGGGCTTCGCGTAACCCCGCTCCATACCAGGACCATCCAATGGGCGTCCAATGTCGACCTGCATCCCGCACTGAACGTTGAACGGCACTGTGCCCGCGTCTCCAGCCAAACAAAGCGTCGCATCGCACGGCGAGGTCCCGGGATCCGGACGTCGTAAGGATGTTGTGGATCTCATTCTTCACGCACCTCAGTGAATCAGGAAGAACACTCAGTCGAGCAAGTGAACACTGATGTGTTCAAGATACCCTCAGATATCTATAGGAAAGCAAGAGAGCAAAACACTAAAATGGTGCGGCCAGTTGAAAAGGATCCAAGGCTGGAGATTGATTGTGGAAAGAACCATTGTAGCATACACCTTCCAACTGACAAAAACTGGATATAACTGGATGACTCTTGATACTATTACTGTCTTCTTCAAGTCAGAAAGAGTCCCAAAAACTCACCTGCCACCATCCTAGAAGCTTGCAGTTGCCCCCTCATAATACAAAAATAAGGAAAGTATGAGACAGGTCTGTTTCCACTTCAATCCACAGAAGGTGGGTCATGTCATGCATCTTTCTCCACGACACCTCGTGACGCTGCAAAAAAATGAGGCTTTCCCACCACCTCCACTTTCCCAGGGCCTTGTTCCATTTGGAGCAGCGGCTCTACAGGATCTGACCCACCATTGCGCTCTTTTCTGTTTGCAGGGCAGATGAGATGACAATTGCAGAGAAAAGGTGTCGTCCAGCCCATATGACCGAAGGGAGGCGTTTATAAACCTTAACGTGGACCCTGAAAACCACTGGTTTGTAGAGGAAAACAGCCTTACCGGGTCCCATTCTCAGGGTCCATGTTAGTTTTCGGGAGTGTATGTTGACAAAAAGGCTATCATTGCTGTCTTCACGACTCAAGAAAGGTGTGGCAAGTGGCGACTTCTTCTGTGATACCAACTTGGACAAACTCTTGAGGCTGCAAACACTTCAAGGACAAAAAAAGGATCGAACACCAAAAAGCCTCAGGTTCTCAAAGAGGAACTCTCCCACCGCTTTTACTAAGACTTACCGCAGTACACTGCTTGAATGATGACCACTGCCGGCAAAAACACATAGCCATAATCAAGGGGCGCTGCGGATTTGGTTTACGCCTACGCCTACGGTATTTGAAGAGGTTCGTAAAAGTACGTCGGGTTCCTGCCCCACCCCTCGCGCGGGCCGTCGATAACACTCCACCATTCAACGAAAACGAAAACGGCAACTCGTGGCCCAGCAGCTTGGCGGAGAATTTCGCCTCAGGCGCGGAGGTGGCACCAGGTGGAGGGGCGAAAAGAAAAGTCATCGGTTTGACTCAGGCGATGGGGAACCAAAAAGGATTGGTTTTTTCAGCAGTTTCGGGCGGCTTCCCTAGCAGGCCATCCAGGTGCAGGCCATCCAACCTCATGGGTGGAGGAGATCGTGCTTCGCCGAAGCCTCGACTTTCCGAGAACCATCCTGATGAACCTGCGGAGTATGACAGGTTCCTGGACGCTCCATGGGGCTGCCATATGCCGATCAGGCCAGGGGTGGTGCCAGAGGGGTCAATGGAGCGGCAGTCCTATGGCAGTCCCATGGAGTGTCTGGGGTTCATAGGTTCTCCACGATATTGAGGATCAAAGTAAGTCCAAGCCGATCATTTCCACCGATTTGGTGAGTCCATGTCAACCATTACGCTGGATGTTCAATTAGTTCCTCATCCTCGCAAGAGAATGACCAATTCATAATTCCCAGCTCAGCATGGCTTGTTCCCCAACTTTGAGGATCACAGGTGATCAGGTGCGCTTCGTATGTGCAGAAATCATACCACGAGCCGCGCCTTGCGCCAATCCCACCCTCGAAGGACACGAAGGCTGCCCCCAAACTGGACACTTGCCCCGCTGAAAACTCACATTGGACTCTGAAAACCACTGATCTGTGCAGCAAAACGGTCTTTCAAGGTGCCATTCTCAGGGTCCATGATAGATTTCGGGAGTGTACTCATGAACATCTTACACTACTCTCTTCAGTCTTCAGCGTCGGTGTCACACCCCCAGCGGCGCTTCGGGGAGTGGAAAATCCACTGCCAAATGGCTGTGGGTTGGGTGTTCTTTAGGGGGACTCCATAGGATCTTCAACCCATCCATCGGTGCCAAAAAACTCCATAGAGGTGCCATGAAGTCAACTCCCAAATGGATGCGTTGACTCCTTTGACCCTCCTCCCCTCGCGGGACTTGGCTTGTAGGAGGGTCGTCCGGCCTACGAAGGCTGGGTGGGTTCCAATATATATGGTCCGTCCACTCCAGCATTGGTCCAGTCGTTACATGAAGCAATGTTTGGAATCCAAAGCTGCCAATGGCCTTCCCGTGGAATAGCCATGGGTGGCTGCCTTTTTAAACATGTGGCCAGTTTGTTAGTTGGTTGGTGGATACCACCCACCCACCCAAAAAATTGGTTGTAATTACGTATAATAGTCATAGTCGTTCTTTTTGCGCATCGTCCAAGTTTTTTGCAAACTCCTTGAACTCACCAACCACCGGCTGGTGTGCCTTTCACCTGCCTTTTCCCGGGTTCTTCGTATTGGTCACCTTAAGCCCATCCATGCCTAAACATACCAACCAATCCCGACTCCACATCTTGCCCAGGAACTCTCCCAATGAGCTGCTCCATCGCCACCAATCGGCTTCACCACCGGCGCGGGGAACACCGGAAGTCAACGGCGGGGTACGTGTGGCGCTTTCACCGAACGTAAACGTGGGCGGCTGGAGAGGGGGTTGGTGCTTCGGACGAGCTTCAGGGCTTCGTGTTTCAGGCAACAACGACTCTCGTTGCAAGGGTCGAACGTTGAAGAGTTTTCGCCTCTCGCGTGGCCTCACGGGTTGGGGGTCTGAGAAGAATGTGTTGTCTTCCATCATGCCGTTGAGCATCTTCTGGGAGGCTGGAGGAGGCTGGAGGAGTGTGAATGGGATTGAAAACAACCTCGGTTGATCCTTTCCACGAGTCTGAAAGTTTGCTGCTTGCCGTGCAACAACTGTGTGCGTGTTGCTTTAGGTTGGCAAGTTCTTGTTCTCAAATAGAAAAAGCACCACGTTCATGAAGGTTTGCCTTCGACCCACATCAATGACTTTCTATGTTTCTTGGGGGGTCTTTCTATCTAAACCAGAAAGCAGCACGACAGCACGAATGTTCGAAGATGCGCCAAGTCAGGGTGCGAAGATGTGCGAAGAAAATGCACGGCCAGTCCGGCGTTCAGTCCGGTCACCTGTCCGGAGGGTGCAACGGAGAGAGGAAGGTCTGTCCTTCTGCCACGGCATTCGAGTCTGTCCAGCCCGCGAGCTCCGCTCCCCAGCACGAGGCTGCTGGGACCCAAAGGTACCGAGACAACTCCCCGAAACTGCTGGGGTCATGAAGATCCTGGCTGACTGCTGGGGTCATTAGGTTGGTCCAAAAACCATGGTCAAACCGTAAGTTCAAGAAACTTGAGGCAGGTTGGTCGTTGAATGTCATTGAAGATCCCCACCTGCCAACATAGCCCCCAGACCATTCCTGTCGGTTTCAGCCCAGTAGAACACCAGCCATGCAGCCACTCCGCCACCCGATGCTAGCCGATACGGTGCTGCAGGACTCTCCTGTCCCATGCAGAGCTTGCCACAGCAATAAGGACCTCGCAAACTGTGAAGTTCAGTGAATCTGAGATGTAGATATCAGCTGCGAGGTCCAAGCACCGCTATAGCTTGGTTTGCGGCATTGATGTCCAACATGGTCCAAGGCAATCCTGTCAAACACTCATGAATTGTCAAGCACTTGTCAAGCACTTCTCTGCGGTGCTATATGTCGTGCATTGCAGCAGCGTCCTTTCAGTCAGTCATGTGATGTCTTATATCAAGTTTCTTGCTGTTTCTTGATGTTTCTTGATCAGTTCAGCACTTCCCAAGTTGCTAATATATCTGGCAAAGGACACCCACCCAAGCCGCTGGGAGGTCACACCAAGGACATGACCGAAAACTCCGAAAGACAGTGGTCCGGTCAGCTGACCATGCCAAAGGTTCTCTAAACTACTGCGAAGAGATCCGCCGCGTTGTAGGTCTTACTTGCCAACCACAAACTACAAGGAACCCGTGTTTCTACCTCGTCGGCGTGTCCTGGCTGAACTACCCCACACTACCACCCTAGCCTTCCAAACAGGGCACCCCTTGGAGGGTTCGGGTCCTGGTCTACAGCTTGGAGTCTTAAAGCGGCACTGGCTCGGTCACCCCCCCGAGGCCAGGCACCGGTCGTCCGAGAGGCACCGGTCAGGCGGTCTTCCGTCGCGGGTGGGCGTGCTGAGGCACCACACACGGGGTACAGAAACCCAGTGTCTGTCCTCCGCACCCATCGAGTGGTGGAAGGGCGGCAGAGTTGGGTTGGGTCTTTTCCCCGACCACAGTCCTTCAAACTTCCGCTGTTCGCTTCAGAGGGGTAGACAACTGTGGGATGTGGGATGTGGGAGATCACACCAAGTTGGACGGTTTTTTGTCTGGTTTCCTTCTTCCAGGAGGTACTGCGAGGTCTCCCTATCTTAAATACAGTACTGTACTATACCCACATCTCTTTTGAGGCACGTTCTTCCCAAAATGAACCACCCATATGCGCAGCGATCCGTGTGTTCCTCGATTTCCCCGCAGGTTTGACGACATGTTCCAGAGCCCTCCTCGCGGCCCTCCTCGCGCGCCCCCCAGCCGCGCCCGCACGTCGGCACGTCGTGATCGCGATGCCCGGGCCGGTTCTCCCCCCACTCGCGGTTCGAACGAAGGCAGGCGCCTGATCCCCACCGGGCGTGAAAGCCCGGCTTATTGAGGGCAGTGGCTGAGTAACACCTGACCAGACGCTGAGACGGTGGCCACGGTAGGCGCCACGGTGTTGGGTCAACACTGTCAACACCCTGAGATGCTTGATCGGTTGAGGTCAAAGACGCTGCTGAGATCAGTAAACACATGGCATGAAGACGGGTCTCTTTCCAGAAGAAACCCTTGCATCTTTGAAAAGGTCCGGGTGAAGGGCCCAGGGCCGCAAAAACCGACCCAGAAACAAATAGAGGATGATAGAGGTATGATGGTATGTCAACTGAATTGATCATGTTCTTCCCTCCCTAGATGTGATGAATCCGACTCGGTAGGTAGAGCGTCCTTCTCGCTCATCGTCATGTGGATCCCAAAGAGATCTTATTGATCAACGATGGAAGATGGGTGTGTTCAATGGGCGAGAAATGGTGAGAATCTCCGGTGAGAAGCCACAGCGCCCGACTGACTTGGAGCGAAGAAAAGACATTTATGTTATGAAGGTGCTGAAAACTCTGTGGTGAAGCATCGGCTGGACTGGCAAACCTGGGCTGAAGGTGCCTTTCTGGTTGGTGGTTTCAACTCACTTGCAAAAGGTCAGCTGGTTCGATCATCCCAAGAAAGGGTTTACCCGAGTGCTGATGGTTTGGTGCTGGCACAACTTCAATGTCCGTGTAGTGTGCTGATTTCGGAGTCTTTTGTTTTTTAGGCTGAGCTTCGAAAAGCAGTAACTCCAAAAAGGAGCCATCCCCAAGGTTGGGACATCAAACATCACTGGCCAAAGAGAATCTCCATTATGGCTTCCATGGAAAAAAAGTAACTTGAGAGAGGAGGGGGGGTGAACGAAAGGTAGCAGGGAATCAGGCGTAATCCGGGAGGAGGTGAGAGGCCCCCCACTTGTTTGAAGAGAAGTGAGTGAGCGTGATGAAAGAAAGACTAATGCACAAACGCTTGACAAAACCTCCAGAAGCTGTAGCGGTCTAGCGGTTTCAATACAGGTTGACGTGCCTTCAAAAGGAGTCACATATTTCTCAAATGCAACTTCGGATTTACATAGTGACGTGCGGCGACCCTGTAAATTGCGTGGCCGCAAGCCATGCTTGCAAACAGGACGTGCTCAAAAACACTGGTATTTACGAGGTTTCGTTGCCGTCGATCCACAGCCGCGGCAAGGTCTAAGGCCACGCTTGAAGACAGGAGGAGCTGAAAACACTGGTATTTACGGTATTTTGTAGCCGTCGATCCAAAGGCGCACCACGGTTGAGCGCTGGAAAAGCGCAGAAAACCGTGTAAATACCGGCGTTTTCTGCCGAGAAGGTGCACAAAACCCTGTAAATACCATAGTTTTGTGCAATTTTGAAGCCTCCAAAAGCCTCAAAAACCCTTTCTGACAAAATCTTTCCTGGCTTTTGGTCTTTTTTCGGTCATTTTTCTAACCGAGACGCATCAAAAACCATCGGTTTTTGCGGTGTTTTTTGCCGGACAGCCACAAAAAACGCTGTAAATTCCATGATTTTTGGTCACTGCTGAGGACTGGAAGAGCTGAAAACACTGATATTTACAGTGTTTTCGAACGGTTGACCCCGAGGCGCGCTAGGGTGGAGTTGAAAGGGGGGGGGGGGGCCCCCCCCCCCACCCCGCAAACGCAGAAAAGAAGGGGGCGCTTTCTCTAGGGGCAGGCTGCAGCTCTGGGTTAATACATTTTTGCTAAAGCAAAAGGAAAACTCAGGTAGCGTAACCGCTACCTTTCGTGAAAAGGTGAGAGATCTTGATCCTCTGGATTCCAAAGAGCTTGGAAAAGGTGAGAGATCTTGGTGAAAAGCATCTAAAAGTGCGGACACCTACCCAGACCTATCCTTTGGATCACCGATCCTGAAGGGTTGATCCTCAACTGCTCCTCCCGCCACCGTCCGGTCACCTGCCTGAGGCGTCCTCATACCAATCTGGCGGTGGAGAAGGAAGAGACGAATGAAGGGCCGAAATCGGCAGGTCTCAGGGGACCTCACTTGGTAGGTCCAAGTGGTCCCAGTGAGGTCCAAAGGTGAGCTCCATCCAGGGGACCCTCACTGGGTAGGTCGTCCAAGTGAGCTCCATCCAGAGGACCCTCACTTGGTCCAAATGGTCGACCGCGGCGACTGGACCGGCGAGGCACGACTTGGGGCGTGGAGTAGACCGCGGCGAGGCACCAAAACCGCGTCCCGACCGTGGTAGACTGCGGTAGATGGCGGACCACGTTGCGGTAGATGTGGAAGACACGAAAGCAGCGGATCATTGGAAGTGTGGAATGTTGGCCAAATTGTTTTGGCTAGAAGTATCCCCTGATGTCTTCCCACAAGGGTTGTTGATGAAGAGTGGATTTCGGGTTGGTTTCACCGCATGCTCGGCATCGAAGAAGATTGCTGGGGTCTTCCCTTTTCCCTGTCGCATACCTTTGGGGAGTAGGCGTTTGGACTCGCTCAAGGCTGCCGGCAAGATGTGCCGGCGGGCAGCTCGAAAACATGGGAGCAAATCCCACACATCAAAGGAAAGCAACCTAGTGCCAGATTATACCCTAGTGAAACTGAACGTGGACCTAAAGCATGAACCTTTTCAAGATTCAAGACCAATCTATCATAATCTATCTCTATGTGACCAGTACTCATCTAGGGAGAAGCGATGAGCCGCGGGTCTAAGGTGCTCCATGTGGAACTTCAATCATTCCGGTAGGGTGGACTTTCCCAAGCTCCGGCTTTGCTGTCCATGTCCCCTCAGTGCTGTCCGGAGCTTGAAAGGTCATATGATGTCATATGGCTAGCCTGGTCATGGCACGACGTCTTTCCAAACCCCAAAAGTCCCACCGTTCTTCATGAAACCGCCACCTCTGGCAGTCTGCGACCCACCCCATCTTCGACCGGCCAATCCCACGCGTTTAGACCGGCGGGTGCCTCCTTCTGAGCTTCATTGCCCGTGACCTGGGAGAGACCGACACACCGTCGACACACGCGACACGTGGCACTGGTCGTGGGAGCGTCGCGTGGTCTCTCACCAGGAGGGTGAGACACCAACGGACACACGACCTGGATTTGTGGCCCCCAGGAACTGCCAGGAACCTGGAAAAAACACACAAAAGCCTCGCCAGGTACGGGTATTGACCCAGGCAACGGGAGAATAAACCATCACCTGATCTGCAAAAACCACTTGCAGCAGGTGGTGGCTCAAAGAATCCAGTGGTGGCTCAAAGATACGAAGAGAAGAAGGCGCAGCTGCTTTGGAAGGATAAGGGTGTTTCTTGGAATCCTACAGCCATACCCTGCAAATTATAGTGCATTCCTGGAGGGGGCGAAACATGGAAAAAAAGGCACACGAAATGTGGGATGTGTGCATCAAACAAATGGGTTGGAGAGGTAGGAACAACGTAAGCAAACTGACAAATATGTGGTGATCTTGCTACTACTTGTGTTTAACGTTTAGGATGCGAAACACTTCTGAAGTAAAGCATCGTATACCACCTCACATGATCAATACTCTTCCATCAACAGTGCCCTTTCGATCCCGGCCTTCGACAGCGCACGATGGACGCCCATCGCCTCGGTCAAGCATGGAAAATGCTCAAGCTTTGCACAAGAAGTGTCTGTATAATTATGCCGAATGGCCCCAGCAGGATCCATTTCCTGGACAGTTTTTGTTGACAAGGCACCCAAACAGCAATTGTTGCTCCGGCAAGATCAACGGACGATGAGATGGTTTTGAAGGTGTTCATCAACCTCCAACTTGGATGAACTTGACGAGCACCTCCTTCTCAAGCAGTCCCAAACCTACATACTCGACAGACTACTGCCCACCTACGATTGAAGCTACCATGTTTGCTTGGTCTACATTGGTCATATCTGATACCCAAAATCAAGCAAACAAAAAAAAACACATCATCTATCAATATATAAAAATAGAACAAATAAAAACATAACATATATAAATTATTATGCAAAACCCCCCCAAAAAAAAAAAAACATGTATTTGGGGAACTGTTTTGCTATCAAGCAGAAAACAATCAAACACCTGCCTTATGACTGTAAAGCACCTGGCCTTGCTCAATGTCAGCGCCTGTCTTTGGCCGTTCAGCCGTTCCTCCGGTTTTTTCACACCAGTTCTGCTTGTCTGGACTACTCCAACATGCGGATGCCAACGTTCAGGTGTTGTTTGGCTCTCGGCATCTCTAGACTTTGGGACCAACTCTAGGAATCTTCCAGCTTAACCAATTGCCCCTCCCCCACCACCCCCTAAAAAGGGAAAAGGAAGATCCTCTACAGTCCGAGCAGTAGGAAAATTCTTCTGATTCTTTTAGCGCTTTCCCTTTCACCCATTCGCCACACCGATTCGAATCCCAAGATCCTGGGTGAATTAACACTCGGCGAATTGGAGGTGAAACCCTCGGGGGATAAGCGAGTCTTCTGTTCGTGCTTTCCTTTCGGGGGATCTGAGCGGTGGACTTGGACATTAAAGCTGGGCTTCTGGAACTGTTTGAGAGCAACTGAGACTATCTCTATACCATTATATACCAGGATCATCCTGTCTGGGTGTTCAATGGACGTCCATAAGTAGTGGTACTGGTCGTCTAGTGGTACTGGTATAATTCAGGAGCACAAGAGTTAAAAGGATTGGAAGGTACACGTTGTGGAATTGTCCATCGATAGAGTCACATCCAAAGCCCCAGCCACCACCCGCCCAGTCACCATCGTTGGCGCTGCTTTTCGTGCTTTTCGAGGTTCCGAGACGCGTGAGACGTGTCGGCACCGGGGGATCAGGCTGGATGCAGTGACATCGAATCTTATAGTCTTAGAGATCCGCTTTCTGTGCCTGCAGAACCCCGAAGCAATCCATACTTCCAGTGTGGCAGTGACAATTCCTTGAACTCCTGGCATCAACGATTGCAATCTGGCATGTGGGAACATGTGGCTTGACCACGTCTCGGTGGTCGATACTGTTCATTTTCAGTGGTCAACCAAGGTGTCAGGGTTTTGACCACAGTCATGTATGTCCCGATGTTTCTCCTGTGGCATAGGAACCTACGCAGCGGTGTCCGTCTGAACAGTTATGAAGGGAGAGTCAACATTGCTGCCCAAAACGATTCTGCGCAATTCTTCACCTGTGCTTTTTCCTGCTGAGAACAAACAACACAAAACTAGCTGTTTCACTTACATACGTTCCCTTGAGGGTCCCCTTTTCTCAGCCACTTGCAAGAAACCCCACATACAATCTACATGGAAAAGTGAAATCCCTTCAGCCACTAAAAAGTGCATTTCAATCCTAACACACTTAACACACCAGGCATAGGAAGTCTGGTGTTCCCTTCCGTGCGCAGGCTGCCTAACAAGCTACCACAGTACCGGGAGGTGAAGACAAACTGACCATCAATGACCTAAACCTGGTACTTTAGTTGGATTCCAATCTCGTCGCCGAAACTGAGATCTACCGATCTACCACAGAATCGTTTGCTGCGTATCCACCACGGCATTTCCAGCGCTGGCCCCCCAAGCAGTGAGGCGCGGATGGCCCATTAGCCCATCACGGCTCGCTTCTTTCTTCGCAACTCTGACGGCTGCAAACCAGGTGAAAGTATCAGGTCGAAGGTCAGCTGAGTCAGCTGGTTTTCTGCTGTTGAACATCCTAACGCTCCCAGTGGTGGATCTCACACTGCTTGGCGCACGTCTGTCGACTGGTCCAGCTTGCGGAAGTGGAGTGGAATCGCCGGAAAGCGGTACATCATGAAGCTTTTCTTGGTACATAATGAATGATCAACATGCCCAAGTGAGGGGCACTACACAGGGTGGAATGGCTTGTGTTTTGCCCAAGTGAGCAATGGTTTTGTGTTTTTGAAGATTTTGTACTTGGACCTGTGTGTCTTGTACAAGTCAGACACGTTTCTTCGTGACTTCTGGCGCGGGTGGTAATTAGTAAGGAGTGGCCGGAATGGCATGATTCAACTTTCATACCCGCTGCCAATCAAGAGATATCCACGCACCATATGCAATATGTACTTATACGGAAACAAAAACACATCAGGATTTCAGTGGTATCTGACGCAGCCTTTCGACTTGGTCCGTGTGGCGAGTTGACGCCGCATCTTCACAGGTTCACCACCTCGGGTGGTTCGCAACCGGCGATGCAAACTCTTCGTCCGAGAGTCCAAAAGGAACCAGGCAATGGTCACCCGTGGTTCGTAGGGCACCCGTGGTTTCAGAGACAAAAAAACCATAGACCAACCTAACACGCGTTCCTTATACAAGCATATAGAGAGAGAGAGGGAGGAAAATAAGTGGTGATATAAAACTGGGATCGGGGGGTATATATGACTTCACTGGCCTTTTTGCATGAGTTTCCACAAAGGATTCACGGGGCAGGAGGTTAGCAGGCATCACGCGTGGGTCTGCACTTGGAGGAAGGCACTGGCAGCCTGGAGCTGCGCAGGAACGACCATCCCTCCAGCTGGGTTGGGGACCTGTCTCGGTCGTGGCAAACAGCTCCGAGCTGGGGACGAAATGGATACTACACCCACCTCTTTGAGCTCCTCCTTTCTCTGAGCAAGCAGCTAGCAACAAGAGTATACAAGAGTCAGTCTTCTATTCTGCTTCAGGCCACGAGGATCCTCAAGAAAACCCATCTTGGCCGAGTGAAGTCAAGTCTCACAAAAACAAGAACCAAACATCTCCCAACACCTCCACGTATGCTAGTGCAGGTGGGTCGTAGCATGTAAGGACATTTCAAGGGTGACCAACATCCAACGAACAGATCCGCACATGGATGTCCCATCGTCATCCATCATCATCCTCTTCCAAAACATGGGACCACAAGGGAAAGTACTTTTTCCATGTTCTATATTGTGGATTGAGAGTAGATGGCACAGACCCCAAGAGGTGGTTTATATGGACCCCCATCTAAAAGACATCCTGGGGTTTGTGCCATCTACTCTGAAACCACTGTAAAACAAATGTCCATCATCATCCCCTTCCCCCAAAAAAGGGACCATACGTATCCATCATTAAGTCACAAGGGACCTCTCCCGGTCCCTGCCCTTCCTAGTCCTCCCCTTCCTCCATCCCTCACCCGTCCCGTCCCTTTTCTTCGGCCCAAACCAAACGTCGACTCCTCGGTGTGGGGCGTCGGGGCCAACGACGGCGACCGCGGTGGTGGGGCGCTTCGCGTTTCGCTTGGGGTCCGTCTCGGTCGTCGTCTCCTTCGTCGCTCCGAGGGGCGATCAGATCTCCATGCCCGGCACGACGACGTCGGGCAACACTTCGATGCCGTGCTTCTCCGGGTCGTCCTCCCCTGGCGAAGCGTACCAAACGGCAGGTTGCACGAACCGGGGTTCCGCGTTCCGGCCCGGAACTGGCCTGGTGGGTCTGTGTGTGTGCGCTCACAAAATGTCCATGCCATGTACGAGTTCAAACGACAAGTTCCAACACGTGCTGAGTCTGTCACCTTCCCATCTCATCCCATCTTCTCAGCACCTCTAAGCACCGTCTCTCCCCGATCGATCACATGGCACCTGGGTCGATGCCCAAGAAGGGATTCCTCAACATGCCCACCTGCTCATCCACCGTCACGTCCTGCCGTTCCAACGGCTACGGCTCCGTTCCGGCTGTCGGAGGAGTTGGAGGAGACCAGTTCACCCAGTTTCGTGGAACGTGGAACGTTCGGAACGCGAGGCGTTTCGGGCGTTTCGGCATGGAGGGGTCGGAATATAGCATGGAGACACATCCGAGGCAAACCTGGAACCTGAAGAGGACATGTTTTTCAAAAGAGACCGAAGAGTAAAAGGATGAAACAGTCAGAAGAGGCCAGATAAAACAAAAAGATTCAGAATCTGCCCGACTGCTCACGAACAGCCAAAAGGCATCAAGGCCCCCTCATTGGGGATCTCGAATGTGGCTGTCTGTCAAAACCCGGACCCTTAAACCCTATTGAGGCTTTGACCATCCAGACATATCGTCTATTCTATTTATGGTGGGTGGTCAACCAGGGGTCCCTTTGCAGCTACAGCACTCCTCAAATGGATGACCCTCGGATGGAATTCCCACCACCAGTTATCGGATTTCAATGGCGTGAATGCCGAACTACCATTGCCTTATCATGGCCCAGACACGACACGTCTGAGTCTGGGACTGCCAGCCAGGACTGCCGCCCCAGAAAGACCCCTCATGGCCCACCCCGGTGACCGTTTTGAAGGCAGTCCTGGCTGGCAGTCCCGTCTACGTGTCGTGTCGTGTCATTGTTTCATGCCAGACACGCTCGGTCCAACGGACGGACTGTCGGTCTCCTCGAGGCAATCCACAAAGCGCATGTGGAAGTCGGTGAGGGAGATGTCATTGGTATCTTGACCAAAGGGATTCTCCAGCTCCTGCCGGAGGTCTGCGGATGCTTGGAAGGTCCAGAGCTCTCATAAACCAGTATGGATGGTGTGAAATTGTGAAACCTGCACCAAAAAGTGCCAGGTTTGGAATACTGTATAGAGAGAGAGAGAGAGAAAAATAAAATAAAATAAATAATGTTTGGAAGATGTCTCCTAAAATGAACAATTCCCATTCCATATCTATGCACCCCAATCGGGATGAAAATGACCCCATGCACCCCAATTGGGAGATGAGATGGAGAGGTGGAATGAGACTCGGCCAAAGGATCCAACGGTCCAAGCCCAGTTTCTTTTGCATTGTGTGCATGGTCAAACCGTCAAACCAAACACCTGAATGACTTCTGACATGAAGTCCACATAAACTCCACGTGATGGGTGAAGCCCTCTACTTTGACAGGTTCTGGGCAGAAAAAGATCAGCTCACTACACACTTAGTGGGGGATCCTACTGCCTCACTGCCGCTCACTTTGAATTCGACAGATCGCTTTGCTGTGACGCTTGATGCCAGGGTTCTTTGGAGGGATTTGTTCTTTGTGAGTTGGAAGACATTCAACCCCACAGTTCCCCACTGTCGCTTCTTTAACACTGCTTCTCAACGCTCTGCCCTAGTCTGACAAGACCCTTCTCAAAAGCCTTCACCTCGTCTTATATATTATGTAAAGCCTACTGCAAAACCATGTACAGTAAAACACCCTATAGCCAACTATATAAACCTGTTCAATCAGTTTGCCAGGTCTCACGACCCTCTCCGATAATTCGGATGACACCTTGGCAACTTCGTTGAGGCACCAAAGGCTCTCGAAGAGGAAGAAACACCTCGCGAGCCGCGAAAGCGAGGACAGGTGAGACACGAAACATGCGTGCGACCTCATTGGGAGCCACCCCGGTGGGATAGGAGGCATCAAGAGACATGAGACATCAAACAAAATGATCCCAGCATCCACTTGGGTGAACTCGCTTACTACAACCCGCACCAGGCCCATTGCCTTCCCCAAAATGGGGAGGACCGTCTCCCTGCATCCCTCTCCCACGACGGTCCACATGTAGCACCCCATTCGTCAAACTCGTGGCCAATCGCACTTCACCGAGGCACAGAATGGGCCCAGCGATGGGCGACCCGGTGAAGTTGATCACGTAGACCGGTATGAAGGCGCTGAAAGCCACCTCATCAGCCGCATGTCGGACGTGCAGACGTGCATGTCGAACGGTTGGTGGAGCCTCCTGAGGCTCAGAAGACTTGAGTCGACGACATGGGGCGAGAGCCACAGCAAATCAATGTGGATGCTTCCTTGCAACAAGGATCTCTATCGCCATAGCTGAATGACAATTGCTGCCTCTGTTTTTCCTCATCAGCACGGCTCAGCACAGGGGTGTCCAGCATGCTAGAACACTATAATAGGCCAGCGCTGTGAACCTGAACTAAGTCCTCTCCTAGAAGCGATCAGGTCTCTAAGAACATCCGCTGAGCTGACGTGGCACAACGAGAACAAGTGCCAATCAAATTCCAAAATGCAACATGCAACAGTCCGAACAATTGCCAGCATTCCCATGAGAGTTCCTATCAGTCTGACTCAAAACCGCTCAAGACTTGCCAACCATCGGAATTGGATTCGTCGACATAAAGTGCTGTCAAACAGGGATGCTTTGCCAAAAATGGACCAACAGAGTCATCAGTGTCATGACTCACAATCTGCAAGCTGAAGATCTATATAATACAGAAAAGTTGGATGGTTTTTTCATTTCATCCGAAACCTTATCCGTCACTTCGACGCCCATATTCCTCAGCCGCGAAGAGACATCATCAATGCCCTCATCACTCACACTCTCGAACACCAAGTCAACCTCCAGCAACTGGCGCTTGTCATCGGCACTGAAGTTGATGGACGGGTCGGACAAGTCCTCCAGAGCATCTTCCATAGCCTTTGGGTTACCTCTTGCCACTTGCCGCCGATGACGTTGCAGCGTGCCTTCAAGTTTCTGTGTGTTGCAGTACAAGTCATGCATTTGGGCCTCAATCTCATGACCGGTGTCTGCGCGGTGCTGCCTAGGCCTAGGCGCGCCGCAAGGACTCTCGCTCTCGCAGCCAATTGGCTGGAAAAATGGTTTCCTCCGCCTGGCGCAACTGATCTCGTGCGGCTTGCAGCTGCGTGTGGGCAGCATTGGCTTTGTCCCTGCACTCTTCGAATTTCTGCATCCGCACCTCACCAGCAACAATCCGCACCTCACCATGAAGGATACAACTGCAAGAGCTGCAACAATGGCGGGGTCGCCAAAGTGACGCTGGCTACGGCAGTACTGAGCGCCTTGCCCAGAGATACTGCGAATGCCAGTTCGATTCCCGTAACAAGCCATGCCCCGAGCTTGATGCCACCAAAGTTGAGTTCCAAGCCGAGGCCATTGCTGAGGATGTGCATGGTGCTGATCAGCCGGAGGTTGCGTTGCACCAGCTGCAGAAACTGCAAATTGAATCTCAGAATATTGAGCTTCTGCTGCACTCGGAGCAATCTTCCTTGGTACCTGAGATGTCTGAGTTGTGGCAAGCTGGAAGCAAAGAGATTGAATTGCAACATTGACACCAGGCATTTTGACATGCCTCATGAGCTGCAAGCAATGCAAAATCAGCAAAGTCCGGCGCTCGACGGCCAGATCGTGACACTGCCGCCCCCTTGACGTCGCTCGCCGGTGCTCCGGCGCAAGACTTTGGGCGAGTTGGTGCCGCAAGTTCCAGGGAATTGATTGCTGATGTTTGAATCCATTGGAACAGTTGAGAGTTGAGACAAGAGCGAAATACATCCGCAGAGCCCACATGTGAATCTTCTTGAATTTCATAAATTCAATCAATATGTCTGCAGAGCTCCAAGCAATGGTACTTGCAGTTTTTTGCTTCAGTCCCTCCAAAAATTGGTCCATCCTCCTGGCCGCCTCCACATCATCGAGCCTCTCAATATCCGCCGACCCCTGCCTAGCTGACGCCTATATGCTTGGACGCCTCCATGCCGCATGCCGTAGCAGGAAAGGCATCCTATGGAGCACTGGCTGAGCACTGGCTGTGACCGCAGCAAGTGCTTTGAGCCCAAACACCGTTTTTCCCACGCACATGTGCCGAGCCCAAAGGCATCCACTTGAGACTCGGACAAGTAAGCTTGGACTGGGAACAAAGAGACCTCCGAAGATGTGTGCTTCCTGGTTTCAGGCAGGTGGGCCCAGCTGGGCGCGTTTGGCTAGGCTGTGTTTCGTCAAGGCACCAGAAGCAGACCCAAGAGCTGTGCAAACGGCAGTGGGAATGGCACCTCGATATGGCGGCTGGGGGATGCGACATGACGTGGGAGTTGGTTCAGTGAAGCACACACAAATAGACCGACCATTGGCTAACACAAATAGATTGTAGTATGGTCCATACAGTGGCTGTATAATAGTAGACCATGGGCTAGATGCGTCCATACTACAAATAGTGTATACAGCTTCTTAGATTGTAGTATGTTCCTACAGTGGCTCTAGAATCCAAAAAGCTCGGACACCAGTTATGCACACATCTGTACCAAATGGACAGGAGGTCTGCTTCTGAAATGTGTTGAATTCATGCCGATCTCTGTCCTGTCATCTGAAAATGGAATCACCCTGCAGCCAAGCGGCGTCGGCGATCTTCAGGCAGTTGTTGAAGCCCAGCATCCCATTGGAGAGCTCCTGCCAGACTGTAGCAGCAGCGGCAGGAAGTCGGTTCACTTCCAAAAAGAGGAGTGCCCCGTTTACTGCTCTTTTGGAGCTGCCTCACAGGTCCATCCTACCTCATCCTACCAAAAATGGGTGTTTGACTAGCTAGCTGGCGAACTGGGTGTGGCTACCTCGCTGCGGCTGCTATTGCGAGAAGGAGTTCAACAGATGCCGACGATCGACTTAGGGGGGAAGCCTGGCCATAACAAACAAGCTCCAAATGGCTTCCCTTCAAAGCCTTATGGTAGCCCATAGCCCAGACACGACCCATGGGACGGGACTGCCGAGAAACGGACTACCTTCCTGTCTCGGTCACCGGGGTAGGCCATGAGGGGTGCTGGCTGCTGTCGACCGGCAGTCCTATGGGCCTATGGGTCGGGTCTGGGATAGATTCCAACGAGTGAAAGGCCCATTGGTTCAAGGTTCACTAAATGCCCCAGGGTCCGCGTCATGCGATTGGAGCAGGTCCAAGCAGTTTCTTCCACCTTGGATGATGTACATGACTCATGTTACATGACTCTTCCACCACAGCATAGCAGTGGCTCCTGGTACATCCTGGACTGGATTGGAGGGGCAATCTCGATGTCCTTCATACCTTTGAGCGGCAGAACTCTGCTGACATCCGAGAACCACGATCGGTCGCAATCTGCAATCGATTGCAGATTGCGACCGATCGTGCTGCTCGGATCTCCAACTCCAAAATGTGCGACTCAAGAAAAAAGAAGACGGGTACTTGCACACACTTTCAAAGTGCCGCTTGGAAGCTGTATGCTTAGGCACAAGGCACATCAAACTACTCAGACCATTCCTTAAAGTAACCAGCCAGGTTCCACATGTGCTTGGATCACGCCTGATGGTCGCCGTTTTTCTAGGGCACACGCACGGCATGCACCGCACGCCGCAGGCGGCGTGGGCGATGCCTTTCTTTTCCGTTCCGAACGTGCCGCTTGGGTGGTTTGCTTCGCTCCGTGTCACTGGGAAGTCAGGTTGACTTCAGGCCAGGAGATTAGATCATCCACACTGTCTTCATATGAAGAACACAGTACATAAACAGCTAGTCTTCATATGAGGTTAGTCTTAATATATATATATATACTAATGCTAGTATGTACTGGAGGCGCGAAAATGGCTTGAGAGCAGCCGAGAGGGCACATCATCCAAATGTAGATTTGCCTTTAGGTCCATGATGGTCCTATAATGCCGGTCTATCCAAGCCAAGCCCTATTTCAACCAATCTGGTGTTTCGACTCATCCAATAACCTAGATCAATCTATATCCGCAGGCCTCTATACCATGATCCTCCTGAACCTCCTGAACCTCCAGACCTCGCTGTCTCGATCCTTTCGGAAACCAGGGGGCAATCTGCCAGATCCCATAGAATCCAGTACATGACCGTCGACACGATGTCGTTGGACGCCATCATCAGCTGCACTTGCTCCGCCGAGGGCTTCTCGAAGACCACCTCGATGATCATGGAGATTGCCCAGACACGACACATGGGACTGCCATATGCCGCCCCAGCCAGACCCCTCATGGCACCGCCCCTGGTAACATTCGGCATCTATGGCAGCCCCATGAGTCGCATCTGGGATCATCTGGGTTCTGATGGAGATCATGGAGATGCCCCCGTGAGAAAAAGGAAGAAAATGGATGTCACACGTGGCACTGGACCTGATCTGCGGGCGACACGACCAAATACTCTGGGAACATGAAGCGTTGTTCATCGGAGAAGAAGAACATGAGTGATATCTAGAAGAAGAAGAAGAGGAAGAAGAAGAAGAGGAGGAAGAAGAAGAAGAACACATGTCACGTGTGTGGAAGAGGAGGTAGAAGAGGAGGTACCTGTGTTCAACATCTGAAGCGACCCTCACTTGAATTGGCAGGTGGGGAATCAACCCGTCACGGAATCTGCCCTGCACGATTCGGAATCCTGCGACCTGGCGATGTTTTGGGTGTTCCTATGCCCAAACACGGCCCAAGGGACTGGCATAGTGACGGTGGTTGATTTCAGTCACCTGATCGGCACCAATGCCAGTCAGAATGGGCATGTGTTTGGGTATGTGTTGCAGAAGCCCTGACTTCGACCGTCGCGCTGACTTCTTCGTCGCTTGGCTCGATGGCCTGGTGAACTAGGCGAGCGACCGCCATCGCGTGATCGGTGCGACCCGCAAGCGACCCGCAAGCGACCCGAAGCCGGTGCTGGGAAGGGAAATAGGGGAAGCTGACAATCTGACAAGATGTTGTCAAAAAAGCAAAAGGATTCCATCCTTTTCTCTGCCAGGCGTGCCCTTCCAACCATCTCTACGGCAGATAAATAATGACTAAGCCCCACCCCAAAACCCATAACCATCCATAACCTATCACGACTCTATCAAAAAGAAACTGTTTTATAACTTTTATACCCGTTCAATTCCAGAACTGCCTGACAAGAGCGCGAGATTTCCGTGCTGATAGAGTGGTTTCAGAGTAGATGGCACTGGCACCCCGTTCGATGTCTTTTCTATATCCATACAAACCACCGACCTTCAACGGTTCCCTCCTTCCACACACTACACTCACTCGCCCGCGCCCACGCCGCCCGCGCCCGCGCCCGCGTCCGCGTGAAACGTTGGCCCGGTGGCATAAGCATCCGTCTTCGAGTCCATGCGGTCGAACTCTTTCCTGTTCCGAGTCTCGGAGACGCGGAGACGCCCAGCCGACGACCGAAGGACTCCAACGGCTCCAACGGATCCAGGAATTGGGGTGCGGCGGCGGTTTGCGGCGTTTAGAAAGGAAGGAAGGAAGGAAGGAAGGAAACAACCGCCCCAAAAGGCCGGATTGGGAGAAGTTCACCAAACCTTTCTGAGTCTCTGGTTGTCTGATCTTAGACCCAAACAGGGCACCAAAACGTCGCCGGCACCGAAACGTCGCCTCCGACCGCTTCCTCGCCTACGCTCGTCTTCGCAAACGCTCGTCTTCGCAAACGCTCGACCGCTCGCCTCACCGCCATCTTAGGGAGGCCGAAATCTTGCGCCTCCTGCAGTCTGGAGCAGTCTGGAGCAGTGTGGGGAGCTGACTATGCCAGATTCAAGATCTGAACCAACCTGGAGCAGTCTGGTGGTTGTGGAGCTGACAGAGTCACCAAGAGAGGTCTTTTGTGACCTGAACTAGGACCCGTCACCTATGGGATAGCCTATAGTACTATAGGGTTCTTCAACCTCTGTTGGCAATGTCATGTAGAGGTTTGGGATTCAAGATCTGAACCAAACTGGCACTTCTTTTTACCAAAAATATTCTGCAAGTAAGCCATGGTCAGCGTGCTGCTTCATTACATCCAAACAAAGGGCCCCCTGCCCCGCCGTGAAGCTTCGTCTATTCGTGATGTGTGCCGTGCGCATTCGATGGCCCTGACTCTGGTAATAGTAGCGCGAGTGTATATGTGTATTCCAGTATCGCTAGTATAGTATAGTAGTACTCTAGCGATATTATAGCATTTATATGCATTTACTAATGGTAAGTATATTAAGCAAAGGGTTTAGGACCATCTAAATTGGATGTCCTTTGGCCCCAAAGACCATTCCCTGGAAGCACATCCCTGCTAGAAGTATCGAACACCATTGAACGCCCGTACTTATGTCCCTCTTCCCAGAAATCTTGGGGACTCCCTACTTCAATACACACCCAATATTATGGGGGAGACAGGCACGGAAAAAGTGGATCAAACAGAATCATGCTGTTCATGGACCAAACGTCCCCCCTCGGACGCAAAAAGAACGTCAGAACGTCAGAACATTCCGACGTGAATCACTCCCGAAACCTTCGGGTGAAGAGAGAGGAGACTCACGGAGTGATCTATTCAGCTGGCACTAGGCACATCAGGCACTAGGCACATCCGATGAGTCAATCCCCACGGGCACACCATGACTTGATACGACTTTCCGACTTCAACCGTGGCCCCCAGTACCTGAAACAATCATTTTAGAGGAAAAATTCCCCGTGGGAAGACCACGTTCCTCTCCCAACAGGGGGATGACGTCCACTTCCATGTTAGAAGGAGGGATTTCCACCCATGTAACACCCATTTCAACCAGACCCTCATCCCACGACTTCCCGGTGCACGGCTTCGAACCCACAACAGACCCATACCACGTCAATGGCCATCCTTGTCCACTCGCATGGTGTTCCGCGTCCGAACGCCCTTCACCTGCACCTGGTGCCGGCGCCCCGGTGGGCCCACTCCAGAAGCTCCAGAAGGCGTCACAGCATGATGTTGAAGGTCGAAGTCAGAGCTTTGGGGGCAACAGAATTACCAGAACCAGCCAATCAGCAGATGTCTCTTTTGGAACAAATAACCAACCAACAAAATCAGGTGTGTTTTCAAGCACGGCCTGGCGGTATTGCCGTGGCCTTCGGATGCATCAGATCGATGGTCGGGTCCAGTTTTCGAAGGGTCGTCCGGTACCGCGACGACAAAGGGGTTGCCATGGGTTGGACGCACTGAGCGTCACTGGTCGACTGGTCGACTGGTCGCCGGCCTTACACGCACAACTTCTCCCCAGAATTCGACCTGACTGAACAAATGAGTCCTCATGAGTCCTCTATGGATTCTGCAATGAAGATCCCGGGCCCCGACAACTGCTCGCTAGAAGTGTTGCCCAAAAGAATGTCCAGTGTGTCCTCCTCTCCCAGAATTCGATTCGCTTCCCCTGAAATCGCTCCCGTCTTCTCCACTGAGTGGAGGAGACACCCCACCTCCTCCATGCGTTGGTTGTCACCTGTGGTCAGCCGGTCTGCAGCGACCGTGCCTCAGGCGTTGGGCGGTCCAGAGCAAAGCAAGTGTTCTTGAAGTGTTCTTGTATACCTAGATCTTCCAACTATGCAAAAATGTATGCCTTTAAGCTGGTTTTATACCTTCAACCTCTGTTGGCTTGTATGACCAACTCCAGTAAAAATGAGGTCCAGCTGACCCGTATGTAGGAAATCATTGACATGGGGGTGTTCTACAGCCACTTCCTTGCCATCGCCATGTTGACGTGTGTTGAACGAGCCAATGCAAGCCAACGCACCTCGTCTCAGTAAAAAAACATGTAAACGAGGTTTTGTCTGCCTTGATGTGCCCTGCATGTCAACCAATCCCAAATTGGGATATTGCAGCAGTGTCTGTGAATACTTTCTGATTTGTTCTCCACTTCAAGAGCCGTTTGGCCGAAAACGCACTTCTTGCCTCGGTCGACCACTGGGATCTGATGGGGTCCGGGTGACCGTGCCCCAGGGTGACATCGACCGACCATGGCCGAGGGTTTCTTCACGTCCACGAGTCCACCAGGCTGTGGCAGGACTCTCAGTGGCTCAATGGCGCGGGTGTTCACTTTCAACCACTAAGCAACAGAGGTTCTCCAGAAGCCTTTTCTTGGACTCCCAGAAATGGGTGTTCCAGGTTGACCGGGTTCCATGATTCTTTCAGGTCACATCAAGTAATAAATGCTCTTGGTATACCCTAGAAGTCCAGTTCGACTGTACTTTGCCCCACTGAAGTAAAGGACATTCCTCAACTCGGGTCACCTAGTTAGACCTTTCTTTTATAGTCGAACTGGACTCCCAGGGTATAAGTATAGGCGTACAGGAACTCAAAGCATGTCAATGGAGTCCACGAGTCCAGCCGCTGGGGCAGGTGCTCAGCAAGGCATAGTTGATCTTCAACCTCCATTGCTTTAATCGAATTCGGTCTGCCTGGCAGATCGGCCATCGGGTCCACAGGCAGGCGTGAGCCTAACGAGGAGTGTCCTTCCTGGAGAACTCTACCGAGCACTTCCAATGCGGTGTCCAATGGAGATCTGCAAGCAATGGGTTGGGTTCTCCAGCCAGGTGACCAAGGAAGCAGCTGGTAAGTTGGTCTTGCAGAGCCCCTACCCACCATGTCCATCCACTGTCTCTAGATTGTAATGTTCCACAGAGCGTGCGAATTCACAACACAGCTGTCAACAGACAGTTTTTGGACACCCCAAACTACCCTCGACATCCCCGGATGTCCCGGTGTTTCGAATCCCAGCCTTGACCGGATCCTTCTCTTGCACGTTCTTCCGGGTGACTTCTGCGAAGGCCTGGGCGTCTTCTCGAACCCCTGGGCCCGTCCACCGAACGCGGGTCACCGCCGTTTTCGAGTAAAGCAGCCGAACATGTGGGGCGCGGGGGGGGGAGGTTCGTGGCTTTGGACGACAGCACTGTTTGGATCTGCTTGCACTGCTTGCGGAACCGACGTTGACCCGTGGTGTGGAAGCGACGTGGAACCTGCTGACGGCGGTCAGTCTGCACGACCAGGTGTGCAAAGCGAAGAGATCTTGGAGGCGTTTAAGCTCTGCCTTTTTGTAGCCTTGACATGACTGATGGACGACTGAAATCCTTAGCAGGGACTCTCCAAGTGACTCAAAGGCCGGCTAAAAGCCAGGGTTAGATAGGTTTTTCGTCTACACAAGTGCACTCACTTCTCATGCCAGGGGAGTATTGCATACCTCCCCCCCCCCAAGCATAAGACGTACGGATGCGGGTTGACCGACCATGCGGTCCTCGGCCGGCTCAGAGAGTCTCGGACCCTCCGTTGGGGACGGGGGGGGACGGTTGCCCGATGGTTCCGAACAGGGGGGTCCAGACCTTCTGCTGCACGGGGTCTCCCAAGCGCTTGGTCCGGACCTTCGTGGAGTCAAGGGACCCTGCATTTGAAGGGACCCGGTCGGGCTGGGCGTTCGTTTCACGGAGCATCTGCATCTGGGGGGGGGGAGGAAGTGCTTGTTGCTGCACTTGTGGACAGAAGTTTGATGCGCCTGGAACTGCGAGAAGGCATCGGCCCACTTGCTATACCTCAGCATCGATCTGACGGATTCGCGGTGGCCATTGTAAGCTGGTAGCCGCTACCTAGCCTAAAGTCGCGGAAGAAGCACCAGCTGGTAGCCAGTTCATTCAGAAAACAAAAATCGAACTCTTAGGTTGGAGGCGCTCTTAGGTTCCTTTTGCTATTATATAGGTTGGTGGCATTCAGAAAAGTCAAAGACCACCCAAGCGCTTCAGTGTGATTGTGAGGATCGGAGATCCGCCAGCCATGTGAGGTTTCCTCTGCACGACGTTGATCAACAGAAACACTTGTCGGGTGCACGGAATGGAGTGGCAGCGTGAAATATCCAGGTCTCCCTGGAAGTCCAAGACCAGTTCTAAAACGGTTGATCTGGTTTAGGCGTGCAAAATCGTAAAACCGCTGGTTGTTCGGTCAAGTAAAGGCTATGGGATCAGCTGGTGGGCCACGACTTCGGTTTCTGGAGCTGGGCCGTGACGTGATGTGACCCATACAGTTCAGTTCCAGTGGGCTCATGGGCTGCTGCAGTTCGCTGTATCAACGAAGCTGACTTGTCTCTCAAAATGGAGTCAAATCCCAGTCTGTTAAGGGGTAAGGGTGAGTTCACCGCAGCACTGCCAAGAAAACGGTCCCGTGGAATGAACGAACACTTGGATCACTTCAACAAGTCCCTCCACGAAACTACCAACAGTTCTTGATGTTTCCTTCAGCATCGCATTGCTAAGCGAGGCATGCCAGGAGACGTCCGCGGCCCACGCCGCCAACAAACACAAGCAGTTCTTGGGGCCCCAACAAAAATGGATCCTGGAAACCACCCCAACTGATTGGCATCTATGGCAGTCCCATTAGTCGTGTCTGGGAGGAGCTCTTTTCCCTTCAGAACACCGGTGACACGGACGGACGCGGACGGACGCGCATCGGTGCGCATCGCCGAACCGCCGAAGCTCCGGTGACGGCGAAGCGATCTGCCGAAGGTGCATGAAATGGAGCTGGGTCACCGCTTCCCAATACCTGGCCACCGCATTACAGGGGAGAGAGAGAGAGAGAGGCAGAGAGAGAGAGAGAGAGGCAGAGAGGCAGAGAGGCAGAGGCAGCCCATCAAAAGAATTGAGGGGGGCCCTGAAGTTTTTGGTCCAAGCGATGACTTTTCCGTGGAGAAGTTTGGGCAAAGCCACCGCTCCAAGTCAGCTAAAGGTGGATGGAAAGCATCAACAAGAGCATAGGATCAAATAAGAACCCCCAAAAGTCCACAGACCCAGTACAACCAGGTCCTGTACTTTGGTGAATCATGTTTCTGTATGACCAGGTCTAATGAAAAGGAGATCCGCGACCCCTAGGGACCAAACACTCCATGATATATTCACATCCACAGTCTTCATTATTCTGATGAGAATCACCTGTCTGTCTTACAGCAAATCTACTGTCTGCGGATTTCACCAGTCTGTATTACTATTCTGCAGCTAAAACTGGTGAACTGAACGTCATGATCCCCAGGCCCAACCCCGGCGGGTGACTGCTAAGACCCTGCGCAGCGAAAAGAGGCTCGGCGGGCTTTCTGACCAATCCAGTCCTCAAACTGACGAAGCAAATCGCTCCATCCATCAGCCCTCTACCCCCTTCTTCCCTTTTCATCCATCTTTCTGACCCACCTCCTGTCCCAAGTTCCCCAGTTCGCAGCTGTGTCTGTGGATGTCACCAGTCTTTATTTTTTGCATGTAAAATCCACAGCCTCTCCCCCTTGTCTAACCAACCTCCTGTCCAAACTCCCCAGGTTCCCCTCCCCCTCCGCTGTTGGGCCTGTTCCACGCGAGCTGAGTCCGGAAGACGATGGCAAAGGTCACCCCCGCGCCCAGGGCCTCCGGCCAACCCCGCTGAGGACGCGAGGAGGGACCCAGGGTGAGCCCTGAACTGAGCCCCTTTCGATCTTCAAAACCCCGGGTGAGGCAAACTGTCCACCTGGTTTTGAGTGGGACACCCGATCCCCCTATAAACCCTAAAAAGCTGGGCATGTTAGTAGGCTGTCTTCCACTGGTTTGTGGAAAATCGCAACTAGCAAGGTCCTGGTCAGGATTGCTCCCTTCCTCCAACTTTCCAAGGACCATGTTACTTGAAAACGGATTCATATCGGCAGGTTGAAGTACCACCAGGTGGTACATTCCTTACGCGCCAAGCTCTTATGACAAGGCCCTTACTCATTACAAGCAAGTAGGTTTATGGCATGGCTCACCTTAAGAGTCTGCAGGTCCTGCAGCCCGGTGATCGCCGGGTTCCGAACACCACGGGCCGTGACGGACGCGTGGAACCCACGGCGCGTGGTGTTCCACGCGGTGGGTCGAAGGCGCCTGAAACGCGTAGTGGTGGTGGATCTGCGGGGCATACTCCCAACCTCAATGGCCCAAAGCCGCCGAAGATGCGCGGTCGGCCCGAGTGAGACCCAAAAAAGCCATCACGCACGACGCACGGGCCGAGTCGGGAAGAAGTCCGATGAAACACAGCACGAAGTGGTCCAAGGTTCACAGGCCTTCCGCAGTCGATTTCGGTGCAAAGGCACCACGTCTCCACCATGTCTGAACGACTCCCATGGCCCGCCCCGTGCGTGAAAAACCCATCGCACGTCCACCGGCAGTCTTTCGTTCGTGGTTCGGCCAGGTGGCCGCTGTCTCGCATGTACTGCACCACGCCGCCGAGCGCGGCAATGAAGAGGCCACCGAACCTCGGGGACGAGCGCGGGTCTAGGGGCGCTATAGATACACGGAAATCGCATCAAAGACCGTGGTACCAGAGCCCAGGTCTAGGGGTGGAGGGCTATAGATACACCCCTCTCAGGGGCTCTGGTAGAAGATGAGTTGTTTTCCACCACTTTCAACCACAGCAGGTTATGGATCAGATCAGGTAGAAAATGATCGAGTGTATCCTCCAAACAGTCAACCACAAGAGGCTATGGTCATTGGTACCATTCCCATTGCCTCATTTGTCCGGTTCCACCACTGTGTTCTGAGCACGTGTACGGCCTTCGGTCGGGTAGATGTTCCAACATGTTCCAACAACCCAACCGCCTATCCCAGCTGGAACAGATCTACGAAGTCACTCTTAAACTGCGTTACGAACGTGAAGAGTCCACTCCCAGCCGTGACTGCTCAGTTGCCCCTCGATGGTCGACCCCTCTAAGGGCATAGGGTGTTCTATGGGTTTTCTTCACCCTGTTCACATCTAAAGAACCCCCCTTTCCAATTTGTATGTGACCAGCAGTGAGCTTCCGCACATTCATGTGCATGCTGCGCCTGCCAAAACACGCTCCTCTGACCCACTCAATCCGTCCAAGCAGCACAGAGTCTAGTCGGAAGAAAACGCTACCTCTTCGTTCCAGGAGCAACCAGAAGAAGCTCCTGAGCGGCTCTCCACGCTAGCTGGGGGTTGCAAGGTCAAGGGCTCGGTCCATTCTTGGGACTTCGTGGGTTGCAGGTTGGACCTTGAAAACAGGAATCCCTGAGCATCCCGAAGCACCCTCCATGACAGGAGTCGCACCCAACACCTAAACGCATAAAACTCATCGGGCCTTCCAAACCCTTAGGGTACGTTCAACTCTGGGACTTCTCCTCCAGCACTGACTTCACAGGTCACCAATTGAAACCTGTTAGGGCCTAACCCTCTAAAGGAGACCTGTTGGAGGGTGCTGGCTGATGAGGGAATGTTAAGAATCACTCGATGAGCGGCTGATTAATCCCCATGCTATTGTCAATTATCACCCCCTATGAGCAAATCAGGGGCAAGCGTGAGTCAAGTTCTCTTTGGCCCCTCTATATACAGTACTACCAATAAAAACAAACAATAAGATAGCTCACCACCCGCATGGCTGAAGCCAGGCTGTTCGCATGGCTCTTCAGCCTATCTCGACCGTTCCTTCAAGGCACGGCGCCCGGAGCGGCGGCGGCCGAGGGGCTTGTTGTAGTAGAGCAACATCTCGGCCACATTGGGCCGCTCCGAGCGCCCCCCAACCCGCCGCGCTGGTGATGTCACACAGCTCCTGAGATCGGTCACTCACCGCGATCGGTCGGAAGCCCTGCGGTGGGGAGGGAGGGAGGGGCGAAGAAGCAGGCTCGGAAGCAAGGGTGGATCTATTGGTAGTTGGTGTTTGGTGTCGGCTTTCTGACTCCCAAGGCGTTTTTTCTTTTGATCAACTCACAACAGGTGGTTGGTGGATGTTGGTGGTCAAATACAGGAGCATGATATTCGAATATCAAGCGCAATTGTTTGACTCTAAGGGATTTGGGGTGATGACGGGAAACCCGCCCTGTCGACGACACCTAGGCCATCGGACTTAAAACCTGAATCACGACTGACCCGATCCACTGAGCGAGAGTGCATCTCCCAACGAGAAGCCCAACTAGTCCCTACAAGTCAAGTCGACCTCATTCTACTGGGGATGGTCACACAAAACCAATACTTCAGGAGGTAAAAGACCAGGTTTTACTGGGTCAAACTGGACTTGTAGGGAGTGTTTGGTTGATGCCAGGGCCATCCTTGTGCCGGGTCCGGGCCCTCCAAATCCAATGTGTTGGTTCGGGCCCCCTGGATTCTTAGGGCATATACGGCATATAGTAGTTGACCTTCCCCATCTTCCACCAACAAGACTATAGCATCCCCTCTCAGTGAGCACCCTTCGTGTCCCATCCCCTCCCATCCCCTCACTCCCTTTGGGACCGACGCTGGTGGCGCTACGGACGTCATCCCCCCTCCCTCCTGGGCGCTTCCTCCCGCTGCCCAGCGCAGAACCGCGCTGGCTTTGAGCCGCCAAAGGGTGCGGTGGATGGAGATGGCACGGTGGCTCCCGGGGGATGGCTCCAAGGTCAAAGGATTCTGTCTACCAAGAGAGGTAGCCAGTGACCTGAACTAGAACCCGTAACCAGGGGAGCCAAAGGATAGCCTATAAGGTCCTTCAATCTCTGTTGGTAGTTACTCCGTGTGGGGGAGTAAGTAGGAGTTGATCTTCATAGCTTCATAAAGAATCCGGGCTCCGAACCACCGACACATAGGGTTTTGGTTTGGGCCCGGACCCCTTCCAAGCAGGAGCAACATGGATTCGGGAAAGAGATGGAAAGAGACACATTGGTTGAAATGTGCCCAAACTGGAAGTCGATCCTTCCCTGTCGACTTCGTTGATGGCCCATTCGTTCTCAGTGCCAGGACTACCAGGGAACTGAACGACTCCTGCTCACGTCCATCTTCCTTCAAATGACAGTCAGTGGTGATCCAGTTGTTGGCGCACCTGAACTTATGATGAGTACTTGATGTGGCCCATGTTATACGGTATATGTGTGGTGAACACTTTACATTATAGCTTGCAAACAGATGCCCATTCACTCATCCATATACCCAGATCTACCAGCACCAGTATATTCTACCTATCTATATACCCCAGAAGCCCAAAGACTCGACTGAAGGTTTCAGGACATTCCTCAATTCGGGTCACCTAGTTAGACAATTCTTTTATAGTCGATTGGACTCCCAGGGTATACATAATCCTTCTTCACCACTTTTCTTCTTCGGACAACCCTCCCAGCGTTGGGATCTTCCCCACAACCGGCCGTTTTCCCAACACAACTGCCACCGCCCTCACCGCCCCACTTCCCCAGGCGTCCCAGGCGACGCGGCGGTCTGGGAGGCCCAATCGGAAGACGAACCTGGCGCGGCGCGTGCTGCGCGCCACGCGGCGCGGCAGCGGCGCGTGCTGCGCGCGATGCGGGCGGTGCGCCGAGGCTGATGGTGTGAAGACGGGTGGGGCTTTAGGCTTTCTCCACGGCCTTTCGGCGCCTCGTCGTAGCCGCTAGCCTATAGTGGTCCTAACCCACGTAGAGTGGGAGCCCAACTAGGGGTAAGCCCTACTCAGTGGATCCGGCATCATGCATCAAACCTGCAAGTATCTACGCAGCAAAACCAGACATGACCGTCGACGCGTGTCATCGAGATCGTCAGCTGCAAAGACAAAAAGCATTTGCAGGACTGAACGAGATCGTCAGCTCCAAATCCACGTTCTCAAAGCGATGTCCTGTTTCTTCCGCCAAGAACGAGTGGGCACGTCAGTGGATCGGCCAAAGAGTTCGGAAAAAGAAAACACATGAAAAAAACAAGATGGAGCCCACGAACCCGAATGCAAACACGTTCGAAAAGCTACATATGTCCAAATGACACTCTTGTAGGACACTCTTGTGGGACACTCTTGTGGGTCACTCTTGTAGGAAAGTCTTGTGGGACACTCTTACGGGACACTCTTGGGGGACACTCTTGTGGGACACTCTTGTGGGACACTCTAGTAGGAAACTCTTGCAGGACACTCTTGTAGGACACTCTTGTGGGACACTCT